ACACACACACACACACACACAAAAGTAAGCCCACTCCGATTCATATTTAAATATGAATTCTGCGTGCCTCTGTGTTAATGAATGGCGCAGACGCGCGGTTTTGTGTAGTACCCGTACTGAAACGCTCGTGACGCTTCCGGTGATATTAATGTCTGTCGTCTCACTGAGGACATAAATACATGAATAACATCTCCAGAACTGCTCTGAGAGTCACTTCATCAGCATTTGACCGTTTCATTTGAGTAAAACCATCATCATGTCATACACACACAGAAATCTAAAAGGTATTCACGGCAACCCGTCAAAATAGAAGTTTGGTTTAACTTGAGGGCATTGGCAGAAATATATTACCAGGGCTCGACGCTTACTTTTCTTTTTAGGAGCACTTGTGCTCCTAACTTAAAAAATTTAGGAGCACGTTCAAAATTTTAGGAGCACCTTCTAATCAATAATCCAAAATGTTATCAAAAAGTAGCCTTCCCATTACGAGGTAATATTTGACTCCTCTAACTTTATTAAAAGTATGTCATCTTTTGTCAAATTCTTAAATTATATTTTATAACTTCAATATTTCTTCAATGTTTTAATTGTAATATTAAAGGACCTTTATTTTCCAAAAAATTTAATTTGTTTAATTTTCATTACTTAAAAGATAGATTAAATGAATGTTTTATGCCTTAAAACAAAATGTAAATACACAACACAGAATTTCTGAGCAAAAAAAATCATAAGGCTATTGTAAGAATAAATTAATCTTGTTTTATGCCAGGGGTGCCCAAACTCGGTCCTGGAGGGCCGGTGTCCTGCAGAGTTAAGCTCCAACTTGCCTCAACACACCTGCTACAAAGTTTCTAGTATGTCTAGTAAGAGCTTGATTAGCTGGTTCAGGTGTGTTTAATTGGGGTTGGAGCTAAACTCTGCAGGACACCGGCCCTCCAGGACCGCGTTTGGGCACCCCTGTTTTATGCTTTCAAATCAGACATGCTAAAACAGAATTTGGTTACAATAAAACATAAGGTTGGACAAATAAAACATTTCATAGGGCCCTAAACGTAATATTTGTTAAACGTTTAATAAATTGATGTTAAATTGTTTAAGTTTCATGATTTTAATTAATTAGACATGCTTTTTGATTAATAAAATGTAATTTAACCATTAAAAAGGTGTGTTTCCCCTAGCCGTAAACCTAGGGGAAACACTGAGACTGAGCTTGTCAGAAGGAGGGACTTTGTAGAAAACGCAGCGTTTGAGAGAGGCGGGGCATAGAGGACCTACAATAATGTACAGTATTTGAAAAATAATGTGTTTTTTGAACATTAAAGCATGTCAACATATTCTGTTACACCAAATACACAAAATAATGATCTTTAAAAAGCATCATATGACCTAGTTTGTACCGTATTGGCCCGAATATAAGACGACCCCCCCTTTTTCCAGATGTACCTTTTGGAAAAAGGCTTTTTAAAAAACAAATCTTGTTTTTTATCAGTAAAACACATTTTGTCTTCAATTATTTTCATATTGCATATTTTTCCTGTTTAAATTTTTGTTTTGAAAGTATGGTAAAAACTGATAAAATGTACCAACAATCACATTTAAAAAATATACACTTTTTGATATACCATTAAAAAAATAATAAATAGGTAGCCCATCTGAATTAGGACATTTAGGCCATCCATCTAATAGTAGCCTACCAAAATCTTATTAAAAGTAGAAGTTAAATCTTACTGTAGTCTTCAAATCTGGGCACTGTCTTACGTTTTAAAATCACAAAGGGAGTTTGGTCCCATCAGGCTAACATGACAGTCAGGATGCAGCTGTAAGGTTTTCTTTTTCTTTTGTTTTTACTCGCGATCTTTACAACACGCATTACATTACGTATTTCATGGCACACTCGTTTTATGCGTATTTGGCGCCACCTATTGTTGTAGGTGTATTATTGACATGTCAAAGTCTAGACCCTGAATATAAGACGACCGCGTTTTCTCAGATGTATTTCCAAGAAAAAAACATCGTCTTATATTCGGGTCAATACGGTAAATCCAACTTAACCACTGATTTCTAGTCGTGTCCTCTTTTGGAAGGCCAAACAAAGTAGTTTCGCTTTCACAACGAAACACACGGCGGGCTAGAGTGAGCAGAGGCCGACCCCGGGCTGGACTCCACTTTGTCCATAATATAAAAAAAAATCAGTGAAAGCTGATCCGGCGATCCACAGCACGAAGTTGATGTATTTCCTCAGCGACCCCGGGCTGGACTCCACTTTGTCCATAATAAAAAAAAAATCAGTGAAAGCTGATCCGGCGATCCACAGCACGAAGTTGATGTATTTCCTCAGCGACCAGCACGGATCAGCTATAGCATGACGACGCGGATATCGTCCTCTTTTGGAAGACCAAACAAAGTAGTTTCGCTTTCACAACGAAACACACAGCGTCTTCACGACATGGCGGCGCCGGCAACAACAATACTACAGCGAGAATAAAAGTTACGCCTTCTTTCTTTGCGTGAACATTTGGGCGGCATTATGCAAATCTTCCCACATAGTGAGGTAGACATGTGGGGGCGTGTTAGAACGAGCCGTTTTAGGAAGGCATGGCTGACTCTTAACTTTTATAAAGTCTATCTATTTGAGACTTTAGTCTTTGCAGCTTTACAGATCTTTATGCACCAAGAGCTTGTAACACTCCAAAGAGAAAGGAAAAATTGAAATCGCATCATATGACCTCTTTAAAGGTTCCTCATGCAACCATATGCCAATAAAGAACCTTTATGTGTATACAGAAAATATTTGACCAGTTCTGTTTGTAAAACATTGTAGCTGTGTCCAAAACTGACCAAAGCTACCTTGCTTCTTTTTTATTCAATGACAAGCAGTATTTTGCATATGAATGTACCTTGAAAGGAAAATGGCTTCAGCCAGGCTTCCAAGGCACCCAAACATCATTTGCAACATTCTAGAAGAAAATCAAATAGTGACAACTATCTTTATGTAACTACTTATATTTAGCTTTTATTTCTCGAAGTTCAATAAAATAAAAGCATTGAAATATAAATATATAAATAAATGAATTTACTCCTTTCAGTTGCTGTATCGGTTTTATTCTTTCCACCAACTGCCAACCCACACACCACATAGACTGGGATATCATAGGAAGCGATGGACACAATCTACGCTTCAAAATCCAACCAGATAAGGCATTTTAATATACAGGATGTGATGTAAACAATGAATTCAGGCATGCCTTGATGCTTTCCTATGGCCACTGCCTGAGAAGGCAGCTTTTTTCAGCTTTCAGACACAGCCTATATGTCATGAGAATTTGATCTTACTTCATTTAAAAAAGATATATATTTTCCTATCTCATAAATTTGACCGTATTTGCTTATAGAATGATAGAATGACACTATACGAAATATTAGTTCATACCTGACTCTGCAACATAGACAAAGCCTATTTTGTAGGACAAAATGAGACCTGGCACAACCACGGCAATATTCAGTAGCTTAAAGCCAATAATTATTTAAATCTCGTGCAAGTAGCAATTAACTCCCTGTGACCTGTTCCAGCTAAATATAATTATCTGGCATAGAACCTGCATAATAATAGATGTTTTATTGCTCCCTTATATTTCAAAACACCCACTATGCTTGTGTATGGAGTGGCTAGGTGACTATATCCTGAGTGTGCTAAAATCAAGTTCTTCTGTTTGAGCACTTCATTTTATAAACATAACTGCATGTAGCCTACTTCTCTTTCTGGCTTTTTAACAGAAGAAAAAAAAACGTATTTCCGTATTCTTTATTCTTCTCATTTCTCACGTCTAATGGATAGTTATTAGCCCAGCAAAATTCCTCAAAAGATGTTTTAGTCGTGTTGAGGTGCAAAAACAGAATTAAAGTAGCATAAAGCTTTCAGCATAATGGTTCTACTTACATTATGCGACTACAGAGACATCCTCATTGTATTTTCCGCGAGAAATGGTCGAGTTAGATTTAGTTAGGTGCACATTAGTGAGATAGAAATTACACTGCCGAGCCGGACCTCGTTGCCATGGCAACACAGAGCGTTTGGCCAACTCGCGCTTCCTCTTCAGTGAAAGCTCACGAGACATGAAGACAACCCGCATTTATAAATATACACTTACCTTTCATATGAGTTGCTGCGTTTGCGAAGGTGTTTTCCGCTGTTATGCCTCTTATAGGTCATCGAAATCCTTGATGCAAGAGAATTTCAGATGTGACACTTGCGGTTGTCCAAACTTTCCTCCCTCGAGAGGGAGGGAGGGCGAACTACGGTGTGGTGTGAGGGACATCACCAACAACGAGACACCTGCACACTGCAGTTATGTGAAGAACAATTTCAGTAACTGGAAGCATGAATCCTATTGTTATAGGTTATTGTTGTCATGTCACGACCAGGGGTGTTTCTATAGCCTTTCATTAGTAGCCTACTTGGGCACAATAAGATAAATACTATTGTGCTGATTCTGAATGATTAACATATTCACGTGCCGTGATATTTGCAAGATATATGCAATGTTTATGCAATATGCAATGCATTTTTTGGTACTTTAAGTACTTCCGAGTACTGTTTGTTATTTTCGTTTGAAAATGTCTTTACCTGGATGAGATGTTAGCACAGCCTAATAAATCTCCATCGCTGGCAGGATCTATTTGCAGATTTGATTAAAAAATATATATTGTAGATAAATATTCCACTTCATCCAGGGTCTTAAGTGTTGTTTTTACAATCAGGACAAAACGATTCAGTGCGTCGAATGATTCTTACTGAATCGCGAACCGATTCCGACTGTTATGCTACAGTTCGAGCAGTTCATTGAAATGAACTGACTCAAATGAGTCATTCATTCCTGCAGTAATAATTCCGAACCACCACCAAAAACACTGGGCAGACGACATGATTGTCACGGGAAATGTCTCTAGGATCAGTATGCTGCTGCTCCCTAGTCAGAGAAGGATTTAGTAGTACAGTTTACTGAAGCACAGCAGAATATCACTGGGGCTTGTGCTACGCCCACTTAATAGGTATTGTGTTATATCGTGGCATAGCCTATTTAAAGACGTTTATTTTAATCTTGCTCGTGCTAAAGCTGAAATATCTGCAGGAAATTCTTTAACTCGCTTTTGATTAAATGTAATATTTAAAAATGTGTGTGAATATTATGCTGTATAAAGTATTGTTTTTAAATGCAATTTAAACAAAAACGTCCATAAGTCAAAATAAGCTGGCACTGAGCATTCACAAAATGTGCTTCTCGTTTAGTTTTCGCTGGTTAAAACGGTTAGGAAGTACTAGGTGTTTGTCTCCATCTAGTGGATCATAAGCTCCTGTAAGGTTCATGACTTAAGTGGCACGTGGATTTTTTTCTGACCTAATATAATTAACTAATATAAATCAAATCAAAACAAAAGTTGCACTCATGTGAAAATAGAGTCAATTTAGACATGATTGAAAAATTAGATCAACACTTTGACACAGTAAGAGAAGATTCATTCCAAACATATCAGGTTGGTCAAAAGTTTACATCTTTCAGAATCTGCAAAAGGTTAATTATTCTACCAAAATAAGAGGGATCATACAAAATACATGTTATTGTTTATTTAGTACTGACCTGAATCAGATATTTCACATAAAAGATGTTTACATATAGTCCACAAGAGAAAATACTAGGCTAGGTGAATATATAAAAATGACCCCGTTCAAAAGTTTACGTTGATTCTTAATACTGTTTTGTTACAGTACCTGAATGATCCACAGCATAATGTTCACGAGTCCCTTGTTTGTCCTGAACAGTTAAACTGCCTGATGTTCTTCAGAAAAACCCTTCAGGTCCCACAAATTCTTTGGTTTTGCAGAATATTTGTGTATTTGTTCCATCTTTTCACACTAAGGACAACTGAGGGACTCATATGCAGCTATTAAAGTCCATCAGTTGCAGAGGCAGACAGTAACTAAGTACTTTTACTTGAGTATTGTACTTAAGTACACTTTTTGGGTATCTGTACTTTACTTGAGTATTATTTTTTCTGGGAACTTATGACTTTAACTTCACTACATTTGAAAGACAAATATTGTACTTTTCACTCCACCACATTTCTATCAAGGTCCTCGAAGTAGAAAGTTGTTACTCTGTAGCAGCTTTGAAAATCAGTGGGTGATTTTTTTATTCTCTAAAACGTGACTCTATTTTTTTCAGACAGTTTAGTTTGAGTTTTTTATCTTCCTTATCACTCTGTATTTACAGGATTTCACTGTACTGTATTCAGTAGGTGTAATGTATTGTAAGTTGCTTCAGAAGTATTGTAAGTACTACGTACAACAATAAAACAGTGCATTGACATAAGAAAGGAAATTTACTTTTGGTACTTAAGTACTTTTAAAAGCAAGTACTTCTGTACTTTTACTTAAGTAAAAATCTGTCTTTACAACTTTTACTTGTAATGGAGTAATATTTGACCAGCAGTATCTGTACTTTCACTCAATTAATGGAGTTGAGTACTTTGTCTGCCTCTGCTCAGTTGTCCTCAGTGTGAAAAGATGGATGGCTGAAGAACAGCAGGCAGTTTAACTGTTCAGGACAAACAAGGGACTCATTAACAAACTATCACTAAACAAACAAAAAAAACAGCTGTGGATCATTCAGGTAACCACACAGTATTAAAAATCATTGAGATGTAAACTTTTGAACGGTCATTTTTATAAATTCAACTAGCCTATTATTTTCTCTTGTGGAATATATGTAAACATCTTTTATGTGAAATATCTTATTCAGGTCAGTACTAAATAAACAATAGCATGCATTTTGTATGATCCCTCTTATTTTGGTAAAATAATTAATATTTTGCCATTTCTGAAAGGGGAGTGTAAACTTTTGACCTCAACTGTATGATAAGAGTGTCCAAGCAGTGTCCTTATTAACTATAAAAGAAATGTAACAATAATAAAAAAGTAACCATTTTATTGGTAGGTTATTAGGTTAGTGAACATGTTATTACATTTTTAAAAAAAATCAAGGTATACACATTTTACTTTAGCTACAGTTATAAGAAAAGTTATCTACAATATGAAGTGGAATTCTGCATTATAAAGCTGCACTTCAAACAAGTTACAATAATAGACAAACACAACCTGCTTAAGCTAATCACACAAACTACTGAACTTGACATGACATTACTGGTACCTAAACAATAATCTGAAAAGTAGAATCAGTATTGTATTTTGAAACTTTAGCAGCAGTAAATTCTGTTTACTTTGTCCTTCATCTGATAAGCAGCCTTGCACAAAAGAATGTTACCTTTTTTCTTCATGGACAACTTTAAATTTATTGATATTTCTGAGATTCTTTGAATTTCTTTGGAAGTCTTTCATGGCTTCTGCTGCTGTGTCCCATTACACTCCCCATTTCCCTATAGGTTGTGAATCAGTATATCGTGAACACAAATTCAGGCACTCGCAAAAGGCCACTAAACATTGGGGCACTGATTGAAAACTGGGTCACACATAAATGTCACTGGTATTTATCAACAACATCACTGTATTATATTCCAGGACTAGTGCCCTTCTAGTATGATTTGTGTTGTTTAGCATGCATCTTCACAGTAGCTCTTAAAGTACAGTGGCATGATGACATATCCACTCATCCACCATTTTTCTTGAATTGTGAGACTTGAACCATGACAGTATATAAGCAGGGTATAAGTGATTTACAGTGCAAGCAGGGTATAAGTGATTTACAGTGCAAGCAGGGTATAAGTGATTTACAGTGCATTGCGGAACAATTTTGACAATGGGACAGCCCTAGAATTTGATTTTGATGCAATACAAGCTAACAAAAATATGCTCTAAGGATGTTTTGCAAACATTCCCATTAAGTTATGAAAATGTTCTCTGAGCATTCGAAATGCCCAGTTTTTTTAAATGCTTTAAAAACTTTTTTTTGTTGTTATATGAACGGTAAGGGATCATTCCATTTTATAATTTTCCAGACATTATGGGCATATTATTTTTGAATGTTCTCTGAATATGCTGAAACAAGTAGCAACATTTAAAAAAATATTAGATGAACATCCAACTAAACATTTCCGAAATAAAACATTCCATGAATGATGTAGAAATAATGTTTTGAGAACATTAGTAAAGACCAGATAACTCTGAATGAACATTCTGTTAACATTACCAGAATAACTCTTTTTTCATTACTTTGAGAGAAACTTGCTAGAACATTAAAGGGGTCGTATGATGCGATTTCAATTCTTCCTTTCTCTTTGGAGTGTTACAAGCTCTTGGTGCATAAAGACTTGTAGTTTTTAATTTCTCCGATCACAAATGCAGACATTGTTTTATGTTTAAAAAGACAGTATAAGTCATTATAATCCGTAATTATGTCCCCACTGGATGCAACAAATGCCTCGTTTATAATGGGTTTTAATGTTTTTGTCTCATTGCTCCGGCCGGACAGGGCATCACAATATGGTAAGGGGCGTAACATTTCCGTCACACGCTTGAGGTATTCGGCCAATCACACCGCACTGGATAGCTGGCCAATCCGAGCAAACCTCGCTTTTCAGACCGATGAGCTTTGTAAAAATTTACGCGTTTCAGAAAGGCGGGGCATTTTTTTTAACCTTAAACCGCATAAACACATTTCATTAAACCAAATACACAAAATAATGTTCTTTTTAGCAACATCATATGACCCCTTTAACCAAAGTTCTGATAACATTTCTTGTAGGCTTGTTTTACTTTGTTTTTGTGATTAACCTAAAGCAGAATGTGTTTTTACACAGGTCATTCCCAAGGGCCCACAAACCTTGCAATGTACAGTATGGGAAAATCTGCAGTTCATTGTTTTTATTCAAAAAGAGGCCCTGAGAATGCTACGGAAGGAATGCGGGAGAGTTTTATTTTCATTCCTCTGCCACAGGTTTTTGTTAGAAAGGTAATTTACCTGCATTTTACACCTCATCACAGTATCTCGATATATGAAATTCCCTTCAACTTTGTTGTGCATTCCTTGACGCAAACTCGATCTCATGCCATTAAAATATTTTCAGAGAGCAAGGGAAAGAATGTGTGCTACTCTTTCAAGAGAAAAGCAAAAGCTTCACGAATTTGCAAACATTCCCCATTCCTCTCAAAGATATTGAAAATATTATCAAGAGGTGTATACAGTATGTCAACAAAAATATGAATTTTAAGACAAAAGTAGCTTTGGGTTTTCTGACTCTTCTGAGTCAGATAAGAGAACAATCATAAAATAATATAGAAAAATAAGGCAAAAATTTTTCTTTCTAAAGAAAAACACATTCCATAAATGTAACTCTTGTACTAAAATTATTTATGCAAATAAATGCAAAGATGGTAATGCGAACCGCAAAGTATGTGTCATTGGGATACTGTGTCAGCTACTGTAAATCAATAGTGTTATATACACACATGCCTTTATTTGTTTTAAAGGGGTGTTTGACTGCTTTTTTTTATAGACTTGATTGTGTTTTTGGGGTGCAGTCTAACATGTGTTAATGCTTCGTTTAAAAAATATATATATATATATTTACCTTTATTCTACACCACACTGTCCTTTCTCCAATAAACGTGCTGATGATTTCCTGGTTTTATGAACCACCCCTTTAATTTATTCTGTCTACCCCTATTCTGTTTATAACTAGTACCTCTTTACCCTTGCTAATTATACTATATATCAGGGGCCTCATGTGGGAAAAGTCATGTAAATGAATAAATAATCTTGAGTAAAAAAAAAAATTTGTAAAAATACTTACTCCAGTTAATCATGAACACCTGGAAAAGTCATGGGACCGTCAAATAATGTTGAAGGGGCTTGGAGTCAAACAGTACCACTGAGAACCACTGCTCTATATGATGATCTTGGCTGCGTGGGATTTTTCATAGTGGTTTGAATTTGAATTTGCACTATATATCAAAGCATACTTCTATTCATACACATAAAACCTTTCCAAGAACATCAGGTTTAACAGGGACAAATCTCCATTACTGATTCAATGAAGACTCATTGCTCTTTTCTGGGCTCTTTCATGTTCTGCACTCAAACAGACTTTCTCCTCTTGCCAAAGACATTGTTAATGAGCTTGGCCATGGATTTGGAGCCACTGTACCGCCTGCGGTCGCCTCTATGCTTAAGCTGTTCCATCACATGGCGGATGAGCTTTGTGAAGAGGTTGGAGATCTCCAGGTAGTTCTCAGCTGCCGAAACCTCCTGGAAGAGGCATTTGTTCTCCTGGGCCAGAGAGCGGCCCTCCTCATCACTCACTTGGCGGCTGTGGCATAAGTCCTGCTTGTTACCCATCAGGCAGATGGGAACCTCCCTATTGAAATGAAATCAGATTATTTGCTTTCAGGAGAAAATTGCTTTGTGATCCGAACATGGCCATATGATTTATTAAGTAAATTAAATAGTGGTTAGGAATACATTTATAATTAGATTTATACATTTATAATCTAGTTTAATAATGCTATACAGCACATGTTCAAACACTGAGATTCTTTTCTCACAATGTGTGTCCTAATTGGAACAATGGCAATGGCATAGCTTATATTTTTCCCTCATCTGACACCATAGCAAGTGGAACAATTGACAAAGAAAAAAAAATCAAATGGTCGCAATGTGGTTGGAAATTTGCTGCAAAGCTAAAACTTCATGTTACAAGAACAACCACTTGCTGCATTTTTTGAAGTGTCAATTTTTAAGCCGGTTTTAAGAAACATGTTGGATTCTGACCACCCATGAGTGATCTCCTTGCCCATTTCAGAGTTCTAATGGACTCCAGATGCCCAGTCTTATGCTCACTTACTATTGTTTCAAAGGACTTTCAAATGACAAATAACCAGTGAAACCTAAACCATCCAGACTTTTAAATTTCTCTATAAATGTGATGGAATAAATTGGAAAGTTTTGGCCTGCTGGTCATAATACAGTTATCGAAACCATTGGAAACCGTGCGGACATGGACAGTTCTTTTGATTATTTGATGTGACCCAGTCTGTCCTTTACAGATGTGCACAGATCCAAGCAGGAAGCCTCCACTCTGTTCTGCAAATGGTCCTCATTAATTCATTAAAACTCCTTCGTCCTATTCCAGTCAACATCAGACAAAGGTCAAAAGGTCACTGGAGAGACTCACCCTTTACAGGTCTCTCGACGACTCTCTTTGATCTGCGCCAGGATGTTTTTGGCATTTAGGAAGGATGTACGGTCACTGATGGTGTACACCACCACAAAGCCATCAGCCCAGTCCAGTGGTTCCTCTAGGATACATTTGCTTTCTTCACTCTGCCAGGGGGTGGGGGGCACACAGAGGTCCAGTCAAAAACACATGCTCATGCAAAGTCCCATCTAACAAAATGGAATAGCGGATTGTTGTTTCATTTGTTTAGAGTTGACTAGATCTCTACCAGAAGTTTTTGTTTTGGATGCAGTGATTGACTGCCAGTGTTGGCTGTATACACTCAGGCATTTCGTTACAGAGTAGAAAGGTGTCCATCTCATGAATTCAGTTTTGGAAATCAAAGTAAAACAACAACTGGAGAAGTAAAAGTTCCCAGATGCAGCAGCTGTAAGACATGAGGCTCAGTTTTCAAAGGCTCTGCACTGCATACTCTGCTTCAGGGAAAGATCATAAATCCCATCAGAGCACAACATGCATTTCCCATAAGAAGCTGTTATATCTGAGCATGTCGCCCTATGGCAGTGTTTGTATGAACGCTAGCCATGAGCTCAGGGTAGCTGTTATGAAAGAATAAACACATACCTGTGAGCACGGATCAAAGACTTCCAAGTTCAACTGTCTTCCATCAATGGAGAGCCTTTTATGGTATAAGGAGTCTGCAAAAAATTATGTTGGATAAAAACCTTGGTATTAAAACAAATGTGCGCATCATAAAATCGGACCCCTGAAATCAAGGTAGACTGTTAGATGCTCATATAAAATTCAAGGGAATAAAAGTAGAGACCGAATACATGTGATGTGATATACATGTAGTTGTATCAGAGGTGCAGTGATTACTGGGAGCCTCAAAAATCCATGGCATGATTGGAAGGAATGGACTTTTAGGAACTAGACAACAGGAAAACATACACCAGCCCTGCTTGTACACAGAGTGTGGCCTTTTAAAAATCAATGTAAACATTCATTATTTAGAGATGAAAATTGTGTCATCATTTACTCAGCCTAATGTCTTTCCTGTATGGCTTTCTCCTGTGGAACACAGAAGTAGATATTGTGAAGAATATTTTAACATCTTTGTCCATATAATGAAAGCTAAAGGAGTAAAAACAAAATGGAATGTCTCGGTTACGTATGTAACCCTCGTTCCCTGAAGGAGGGAACGGAGACGTCACGTCGGATGACCGACGAATTGGGATCTCGCTTAGAGGGACCAATCTACTTCGAGTGTAAACTAAACGAATAGAGGAATTGCTCTTTGTCGAGTATTTGGATACCACCGACCGAGAGGTCAGTGGCAGAAAAAGATGAAAAGATTCTCCGCCCGGCCCTCCTCCGGGGGAGGGAGTGGTGTGCTTACCATCTCCTGAAGAGCAGGTCCCTCCACCTCTGGGTTGCCCGTCTCAGGGCCTCTGCTCTTTCGCTTGCCACCAGGTTTGGCGGGGGCCTGGACGGGCGGGGCGGCTGCCCTGCGACCAGCTCCACGGCGCAGCTTTGCTGGAGGCCGCAGGAGCGGGGCGGTGGCAGGGGGGCCGCCCTCGGCGATGGCAGCAGCTGCACACCGGCCTTCTTGGCAGGATGTACCTGATGGCCTCAGTCTGCCTTGGTCAGCGAAGAACTGCTGGGCAAGTTCTCCACCGTGTCGCCGAAAATGCCGGCCTGGGACACGGGGGCGGACAAGAATAGTGTCTTGCCGTCTCGCGCATGTCAGCCAGTCACAGCCAGAAATGGCGCTCCTGGACCACCATAGTGGACATCGCAGGACCCAGAGACCGCGCCGTAACCTTCGTTGCTCGTGGCGCAAGATCCGCCGCAGTGCGGAGTTTTCTGCGAACTTCCGGGTCGTGACCACCCTCGTGCAAGTCCCTCAGTGCCTTGGCCTGGTGCACTTGCAATTACGCCGTAGCGTGTAAGGCGGAGGCAGCTTCTCCACAGGTCGTATAAGCATCGCTGGCCAGTCGAGTACCTACAGACCCGGGAGGGGAGGCACGGTTCTCCCTGCCGGTTGGAGGTGGTATTAGGACACAACTGCATCGCAACCGACCGCTCCACCGGGGGAACCCTTGTAACCCCCTAGCTGCCCCACCATCGAGGGTGGTGAGGGAGGAGGAACCAGTTGAGCTCCTCATGCACCTCCGGGAAGAAAGGCACATTACAAATTACATTACAAATCAGTTATGTTACCAAACTACTACAAGTACCAAAATCTGCTTTGTACCTTAAAATTAATTGATAACCACCGTAATAATAAAGGTGTTAAAAGAGAAAGCAACATGATGAATCAGTTAATTGTAAACAGTCATTGTAAATATGGTGTATATAGAACAAAACACCATTAGAATAACATATGACACTAAAACAACAATTTGTATTTTTCTATAAAAAAATGAAAAAACTATTTTACACTGTACTATTAGAGAGTTCTCACTTTTTTTGCAATAAGCTTTGTATAAATTTATTCTTTTTAGTCTTTATTCTTTTTAGTCATTTTAATCCTTTTACTCATTTCACTCATTTTTACAGTCAGATGCATCCTTATTTCCAATTGTATGTAAAGGACATCCTCTTGCCTAAGCTTGCATCTATTAAATGAACAATAAAGCTGTGTTATGTGAATTACAGCATTTAATAATATTCCAGACATAATGGCAGATAAAACCCATGAACACATGAGTAAAGTTCTGGCTGTGTTGTTAAATGTGCATGTGAGACTGTACTTACTGGTATTTGACGCATATTCTCCTATGAATCGCTTGGTCAAGAATCTCACCAAAACCGCTGAGGACAAGAGAGAAGAGATGATTGATTAGTCACTTATTGAGATTGATCATCCTAAGCCTTGATGTAAATGACTCATATGACAGCTTAAAATAAGTAGAGAGGGCACAAGGTCAAAGTCCAGCCCCTCATCAAAGACCTGGCCAGTCTACAGTGAACACTGGTGCATATTTGGCTTACATTTTCTCCATGAGCACACTACCTGGTCTATATGAAATATTTGAGCCATGAAGCTATGCTGGCTCATTGACTCATTGAAGTCGGGGCTTGAGTTTCCATGCATAAATGCGCACTTAGCGGCTGCTTTCAATCCCTCTACCCAAATATAAACCATTAAGCAGTCAGGATTCAACTCGTATTCCTCTCAAATGTGCAACAATAGACCTCTCCTTGTTGTTCAATTCTGTCTTCACCCTGGTCATTTGAATCAGAATCCTGACTGATTCTGAACTAGAGTTTCGTTCTCAGGGGACATAGCATCATTTCCCAAACACTTAATAGTCATTAGCACAGGTATGCAGCCTGAAGGGCTAAATGTTCCTATGCTTCTGAGTGGAACAAAAAATAATCTTTCCCCAATTTCAGCAATTACTTGCCTCTCACAACCATCTATTTTAATTTCCCTCTGAGATGACTTGTATAACCATGACCTCACTACTGATCTGTTCCAATATACAAAGTGCTTTCAGTGTTTGTAGAGGGCAGACACAATGTCTCAGTGCATTGTGAAGCACTCACACACATTACTACACAGCTCACACATGGATGATTTCCAACTGAAAATGTGAGGACCATGCAACTGGCACATGGGTTAAAGAGTGCTGTAAAGTTTTAGTTAATCTTAAAGACAGATATATGCATATAAATGTACAAACTACATAGAGTATAAGATGAGTACTCACCAGATTTGCCTGCTCCCTCACTGCCCAGCAGGGCCAGTTTGATGTCATTCATTGTTGTAGATGGTGGCCTGTGTTTGCTGTGCTTCTCTGTGTCCAAGTAGTTGGACGGTCCCAGTCACAACTCTTTACTATTTACTCTGCTCAGTGAAGTGGTGCCACACTCCCTCTCTCTCTATCTCTCTTACTCTCTTTCTGTAAAACATGCAGACGTTCCTTTCTTCCATCTCTCCTCCCACTACTCACAGAGAGCTGAGCTGCCACATGGTCAATTCAACATCCCTTCAACACTTAAAAGTTGTTCAGATAAGTGGAGAACTTGGCTTCATTAAATTTAAACCTAAGAGCTTTGTGATCTGATTTTTATCAGAAATTCTGATTTAGATTTAAGCAAAATTAAACAAAATTGAATCTTTGTTCACAGTCCAAACATGCTGCTGGAACTATTTAGTGACTCGTTTTGCAAGATACATCATTGCGCAAGTAGGTGGCGAAAAGTAATTACCTTTCTGAATGAGTCTTTGAATCTTTGACTCATCGAATCATGTTACTCAGAGACTCGCAACGGCTCTACTGTGACTGCCAATAATTGTCTATCTATTTTGCTCTGTCAATGAAAATAATCACAAACAAACCCACAGCATGTGCTTCTCAGAGCACGTGTATCACTTCAGACTCCTTTGTGAATGTCATGTCGTTATAGTGCTTAGCGTTTTAACCGTATTTGTGTTTGTACATTAAGTATTTTTTTAACTGATCAGCGCCGCGCTTGTGAGATTATTTCACGCCGTTCGTAGCGCGGTCGCGAAGCTGGTCAGCACGGCGCCAGCTCTGTAACATCACGCTCTTTCGTCCCACTTTCAGTGCATTTGGCTTCCCAAATGTATGGCTAAACACAGGTTCTCTCGCCCTCAGTTATGTTGCTTCTACCTGCTGTTTATTGCTGTAGATATGCAATGCAGCGAGACGTATATAGAGACATTTGCTCATTTGCATTTAAAGCGATACACTCCAAACAGCTCTTTTTTAGACACACCCCAAAAATGACATTTTCCAGCTGATATAATAAATGATCTGTTGGGTATTTTGGGCTGAAACTTCACAGACACATTCTGGGGACACGCAAGACCAATATTACATCTTGTTAAAAGGGGCATAATCGGTGCCCTTTAAAAACTAATTTGATTAAAGATTAACCGACTAATTCTCTTGTCACCACCTATGGAAAGAGTCAGTGAAAGTCCCCACCACAGAAACTACTGGTTATAAAACAAAACAAAACTAAATAATTTATCTTAAACATTATAGAATACCTCTATATATGTATCATTTAGGTACTAATGTGCATCCTTTAGGGGTAAATGTACAAAGGTGTACCTTTTGTAAGGGTGCCGTGCCAGTGAAAGTTTTTGTACCTTTTTTTCTGATACTGTATATAACCTCTAAAGCAAGTCCCTAATATGAAGTATAAGTATACACAGTCTTACTGAAATTGAAGTTTGGGTTAGGTATTTAAAGTGGTTGGCAAAGCTGTCTCACATCAAATATGCTGTCTCTCAATTATCTGAGCAAACATGTTAGCCCCAACAGCAAAGTTCACAGTGCCAACATACCACTCGGCCAAGAACGTCAGCCATATTTTGATTGTAGGGATCAATTCCTTTTAAAGTGGAGAGCAGCAATCAATTTTCCCTCTTTTCCAGAACAGTTCCAAAAATTGAAAGACGTTCAGCCATCCAAACTTCAATTTCATGGGCTGCTACACTGGTCAGGGAGTCTTTTTTCCGCAGACCTTTTTTTCTGTTTCAGTCTTTTCATTCTTCAGCTGAGTTCACCCCGGTGTCCCATTATTATTCTGTTATGTTTCATTTCATTTTTGTCGTCTGATGATTCACAGACACTTTAGAAATACAAAAGCTTAAAATGTGCCCGGCACCACAAATATGTGGCACATATCAGGCTTTGTTCATTTCACTACTGAGTATATCACTTTAGACAGAGTGGAATTTCATCAAATTACAGCTATAAACTAATTTTGTGGAATCAGTGAGGCTTAAAACAGAATATCACTCAAGTCACTCAAGTTAAAAAGCTCGCAAAGACCTCAAAACAAGCAATCACTGACAGAAAAAACATGATTACGAAACAGAAGAAAGCTATACATCACTTAAATATATATAAAAGGCAAACTCTAAACTGGCCAAACAGTACACAGATGTGAATCAAGCACGGATGCATTTGTTAGGGCTATATACTTTCTCATTTGCGAAGCCCTAAATATTGTTTCTATTAGACTGCAACATGTTGTGAAGTCTGCCGTTTATTTACTTGCAATTCGTTCTGTATTTTCGTAATTATCTACATGTTTTAAATGCAGTTGCATGTCTAATCACAATCAAAGTATTTCCAAAGGCACACACAAAAGAATGGGCAAAAATTGCCCATTAAACTACAAGAAATCATGACCTCCTTTAGGAGTCGTTATAAATGAGTACTCAAAGCTGAAGGGGGGGAAATGAGGCCAGCTGTATCTCATGAGAAGAAGAGGAAAGGGGGATTTAAAAGCTGCCAGTAGAGTTATTGCATCATGTCTGTGTTTAGTGCGGCCTTGTGGGGGCTCTGCTCTTATCCCCCATCTTTAAGAAGGCAATCAGGGGTGTAATCCTGCAAGTATTGGGGGAATTCTCCGAGACCCAGCCCAGACACTGATCTGATTTAAGTGTCATCAGGAAGCTGTCAGTTAAGATGAGCCAGGAAGTGTCTGCTGGGGTTAAGAATTACAGTACCTTTCCAGGGAAGCTCAATTTGTAAAGGAGAAAAACTGTAGAAAGACGATCACCCTTTTAGATGGCATCAAAGCTCACTTAATATCTTTTTATCTGAAGGAACTGTTAGAGGAAGACTGTCCAAAACGAAAGCCTGTGAGATTACAGCAAGAAACAAATTGTTCATCTGTGTTTAGTATTTCTGCCAAACATGGCACATTGTAAACTGTGCCAACGTGCAATTCTAAGAATTATTTGATGCTTTATTAACATTTTTGGCCTTGAATTTAAACAAAAATAACAGTTTGTTAATTTTTTTAACTCAAGTTATTTTCTATGCTAAGTGTTTTTTGAAGACATCGCTAAAGAAAAACGCTATCTTAAAAAAGCAACACGTAAGTAATTAATCAAACTGATTTCATACTAAAGCAACAGTCTTGATTGCAGAATCTTTATCTTGCAATATTAAACCAAAACAGTGTCCTGTTACCCTTGTGCAGAAGACATATGCATTTTGTTTTCCCATATCAAACACAAAGTGGAAAAACTTCATATTGATTTAGAGTGGCAGGGTGGAGATGTCATCCGAATGTTTTTCACTTGTAATGAAATTATCCAGGGCCCTCTTCTTGGCTTATGGCCTCCGTGCTGTTGGATGACCAGACTTTATTAATCTGTCAGAACTACACATGCAACAATACAGCCTCAAGAATCTCAGGGAGTTCTAGTGAGTTTCTGCTCCACGGGAAAAAGCCCTCACAATACTTATTACAGTGTTCACATGCTCACACAAGGAACACCAATGAGTCACACACTCAACACTGCAGTTCTGTGACTCTCATGCATTTAGAGCTGTATTTCCACAAGTAGTGCTTTAAAAGGTGACATGATGTTTTAATCAGTTCTCTGCAAGTAAAATTAAATTAGAAAATGTAGTTGGAACAGACCTGTTTTCAGATGAGGCCTAATGTTTTTGTACCACTTGCCAGGCTGAGTCATAAGTGTGTCAGAGCTATTTGAACCCCTAAATGGACCATTTACTTCAAACGGAATTATACACAAAAAAAATCTAGGGTTATTTGATGCTGAACTTGTTAAAAAGCTGAACGAGTATGTTTATATGCCTATCTAGGGTTTTAGAAACGTTTCAGTCTGTTAACCCATCCAACTCTTAAAAAAAAAATCAGTAATACATTCTGAAAAATCTATTTTACAATAAAAAATGCTTTGTGTATGTACCTTTAGGGTTTTTAAGCGTTTAAAAGTTGCATGTCTACCTGAGCTAACGTCAGTTTCCTAAAATTGTAAATGTCACAGGAAAATTAATGATGTAGTAGGATTTGTTGACAGTAAAGGTATTTAAAATTATATAGAAAATTTCCAGATGTAGTTTTAACCTCTTATTTTGTACATTTCAATCAAAGCTAGAAGTTACAGTTGTTTTTGGAAAAGCAATTACTTGCATGATTAATTTGTGATAAAAATGAGTTTACGTCTGGTCGGCAATTTGGTGATAATGCTAGAAAGGCTTTCAGGGAAAAAAAGCACTCATATATTTTGCAATGTCTTGAAGGTTCAATTGGCAATGTTTCATCCATAACTGACTGTATATTTAAACATGGTTCATTTCAAGTCTGATTTTAAAACCATTAGGTAAAAGCAATGTTGTCTGTGTAGCAGAAGGAAACATCAAATTCTGAATCGCATATTTACACCATACAGTATATATATTTTAAGACTAAATACAATCCAGCTAAAGATAATAAATAGTAAATAGCATTAGAAGAGGACTTAACATGATCTGCACAGCTGTTTGTGAACCACATGGAGGAACATGCTGGACTAAAAAGTGTTCCATCCACCTGTGAAAATATATATATATATTTTTTTTTTTTTTTTTTTTGTCTCGCTAGTCAATAAGTATTTAAAAGGTTAATTTAAAACATCACAGTTGTGTAGCAACCGCCTAATATTATCCTTCTTCCATTCTAAAAAGGGTTCATGGGTTTCAGTCACATTACGCACATCCTCCTGCCCAGTGCTTAATATGTAAATGAATAATTGCTGGATCCAAAAAAGCAATTAAAAGGCACAGTGACCGACACTGAAAACACAACTTAAGTTTTCCCGGAACATTCAATGACATCACTAAACGGAATTTTGTTACTTCAATCATGACCTCACAGATAATAATGCGCTTTAGGCAAATCATCAAAAAAACAACTTCACTTGTGACAAAAAAAAAGAGACAACAATTAATGACAGAATGACACAAACACAAATTTCCGTTATGTTTTATTTAGTTTTTGGTAAATGCAAATGTGATGTTGACCATTGTAACTATGGCAACGTCAGCTCCGAAACCGCAAAGCGACCATCGCCTGAACTGCACAAAACGCTTCCACTACAAGAGAAAGTGGCAGCCGCGCGGCGATTCCACCGCTTGCCGCGTTCCGTGTGAAGGGCCTTTACTCTTATCCAGTGTTGGGGAGTAACTAGTTACATGTAACAGCATTACGTAATTTAATTACAAAATAAATGTAACTGTAATCAGTTACAGTTACTAAGAAAAAATGTTTAATAAATTAGTTACTCCTGAAAATGTTAACGATTACAAAGGGGATTGCATTTGAATATTTACACACATCCACATGCAAATTTAATTGATTTCTTTCCCAAATTGCTCTGACTACTCTAAAATATGAGACATACGGCCCTATGATTTCCGCGATGCGGAAAACACGGTCTGGTTGGAATTCCTATAACACGGAATGTCACGGAATATGCAACATTTGGACAAATAAATCAAAAGTAGGTTAGTACACTTGAATCAAAACGCGATATGGACTACACTCTTAAAAATAAAGGTGCTTCACGATGCCATAGAAGAACCTTTTTGTCTAAATGGTTCCATAAAGAACCTTTAACATCTGAAGAACCTTTCTGTTTCACAAAAGCTTCTTTGTGGCGAAAGAAGGTTCTTCAGATTACAAAAAGTTAAGAAAGAGATGGTTCTTTAAAGAACATTTGACTGAATGGTTCTTTGTGGAACCAAAAATGGTTCTTCTATGGCATCGCTTGAAGAACCTGTGTAGAAAGTGTAGGGTCTGTAAATATTCAGCAGCAAAAAGACAATATATGAATCCTGCACGTTCTGCGTGTCTCTGTGGAAATCAGGCGCAGAATGGTCATCGGGAGAACCGGGACAATTTCCGGTGGCTTGGCAGCTGATTTTGCCCGCTTTTTAAATATTATTGTTATTATATAATTGCCTGCCGAATGTACTAAAGCGAGTGTTTCCGAATTCGACATTCGATAATAAATCTCTAATAAATCATGAATCGGTTAGTCGTGATTGGGAATGCACTTCGGCTCGCTCGCGCTCCGCCAAACGGTTTAGATCAGAGAAATCAATGCAAGAGATTTGAGTGGACTGTATAAGCGCACAGGTGGAGCAAAGAAGCTAAATTACTTTTCAGGATTTCAAGTGCAGGTCAGTTTCATCTGTAAATATGCCATTGTAGTTTTGTCTTTGTTTACTTAGTTACGCAGTAGCAGCCCATTGCTCATCAATCATCACTCAAAAAAGGTTTATCATTATCTACTGTAAAGTTACAGTAGTAATTTAGCAGGCAAATAATCATATCGTTTATAATCGGTTTAGGGGGAGCTAGGGCAGACAACAACACAGCCCTTATGGAAATTAACAATGATTTTACCTAACCATGGTAATCACAAATTATTAACCATGGTTTTGGCTACACTAACCATAGTTTAACCATGGAATTTGTAGTAAAATAAAGACAAATGGTAATCCATTTGCCAAAAAAAAAAAAAAAAAAAAAACCTGGGTTAGGCCTACCCTACACTGTAAAAAAAAATAGGAGACATTTACGGTAAAATACCGGCAGCTGTGGTTGCCAGAACTTCACCGTAAAAAATATGGTAGCAACATTTTAGGTTTTACAGACTTAACTTAAATTCACAATAAAATATTTCATTTCATTAACTGATGTAATGTTAATAAACCAACATATTGAAGTACTAATATCTGTTTTGAACCATTGTAATGCACTGATAACCACCAAAAACTGGTGGTGATGAGTAAGTCACATGATGAACCAAAGCCCATCACAAACAGCTTTTCTATGAGATGAGGAGGGCAATACTTATAAATAGAAAGTGCACAGTGTCATTCACACTAAACCAAAAAAACACTAAACACCATCATGGTGACACACACTATACTGAAATAATGCAATAAACATTGATTTAACAACATTAGATGTAAGATTAAACCCTAATGTACACAACTGATTAGAAAAAACTAAGAAGAAACATGTTATTTCAACAACAAAAAAAACATCAAATATGAAGTGTCATGCAGGGAATTCTGGGAGTGTCCGAGCGTTTTAATATGCTTTCCTACCTGCCTGTAAACATAAGTATTTGCATACCTCTGCGCACCCGGTTCGCGCAGACAGGATACGTCATCAGCGTGTTCACGCACACTGTGCAGACAGAGCGAGAATGGCAGACAAACATCAACAACCCGATCTTCCTTGCTGGAATTGTAGTACTTTTCTCACCGGTGAATGACACATAATGTAGGCAGCCCAGCGGTTAGTGTAGTGTTTATACATTAGCCTATCATATTTCACTTTATTTGGTATTATTTCTGGTATTATTACACTCTCTCCAAACGTTCTGCTGCTCACAAAACATCAGTGAGAGCGAGTTTGAAGAAAGCTAACTGGTCACGGTCAAAAATATGTTGAGGACCAATGCATAACCTCCAAATATGCGCTCGCTCCAGACAGAGCGAGAATGGCAGACAAACATCAACAACCCGATCTTCCTTGCTGGAATTGTAGTACTTTTCTCACCGGTGAATGACACATAATGTAGGCAGCCCAGCGGTTAATCCAGTCCTTGCACCAACTCATTAGAAGTGAGCTATGTGCATGAACTGTGTTCCGATCGATATGATCCCTACACAGTGTTCATTGCTCCCTACTCCCTGAGCAGGGGAAATCCGTTGAAGTTTACTTCACTTCAGAACATGGGCTGGAATTGGGAACCTAGTGTTTATACATTAGCCTATCATATTTCACTTTATTTGGTATTATTTCTGGTATTATTACACTCTCTCCAAACGTTCTGCTGCTCACAAAACATCAGTGAGAGCGAGTTTGAAGAAAGCTAACTGGTCACGGTCAAAAATATGTTGAGGACCAATGCATAACCTCCAAATATGCGCTCGCTCTCATATGCACGCACGCACCCGTGGCTTTGGACGGCGATTGCAAGAAGGGTGGGACGTTCGCTTTCAGTGCTATCAGGCTAAAGTTAGCATTTTCCAAGATCTCCTACTGCACCTTTAATTCAAGTGATGAAGGATTTTGAAAGTCTGACAGTATCAGTGTTGAGCACTACTGTAAGGTTAACCCTGCATGGTGTAAATGTTTGAAAATGATTAACAGTTGAAAACATTCATTAGAAATTTTGAAAAGTAATCAAAAAGTAACCAGTTACATTACTTTAATAAAGTAATTGAAAAAGTTACATTAGTATTACATTTTAAATATGGTAAATTGTAATATGTAACCTATTACATTTCCAAAGTAACCTTCCCAACACTGCTCTTATCTGTATGACCAAAAATTAATGTATTTTATGTTTCAGCTGTTCGATCGCGCTGGCGCCTCGCGCGCTCGCTCGCTCACACACACACACACACACACACACACACAGACAGACAGACAACATATTCGCTCAAACTCAAACACCGCAGTCTCTTCATTATCAAAATAAAATAGTCAACCAAAAAAGGTTTCACTGGTCAATTTAAATAGTCCGTGGTATAACCGGTCCACTTTGTATGCCAAGCACATTTTTGCTCATGTGAAGATGATATTTCTGTCGATATATGAACGCGCGTGAAGTACAAAGCCTCTACATTATAAATAATAGTTTCATTCAAATACATTGCGAATATGGAAACATTAGGATTTGTGACGAATGAGAGGTCCGTGAGCCCAATTAACGCCTGGTACTTTCAGTTTCGCTTTGTTTTGGTTTCTTTAGGTATATATATTTTTATTTCATTCTTGTTCTGTTCTGAATACCGTTACATTTATATGATTTGTTTTGGAGTGAGCTATACTAACGTATAGCTATGTGTGTATGTAGTGTTTATACATTAGCCTATCATATTTCACTTTATTTGGTATTATTTCTGGTATTATTACACTCTCTCCAAACGTTCTGCTGCTCACAAAACATCAGTGAGAGCGAGTTTGAAGAAAGCTAACTGGTCACGGTCAAAAATATGTTGAGGACCAATGCATAACCTCCAAATATGCGCTCGCTCAAAATTATGTTGAGGACCAATGCATAACCTCCAAATATGCGCTCGCTCTCATATGCACGCACGCACGCACGCACTATCTAATGGCGGATCCTTAAAAACAATTACCGGAACGAAAAATCCCAAATCTGAAATTTTCCGGAACAGGATCCGGCTCAAATTAAGCACTGCTCCTGCCACTGAAAAAGTCCGATATTAACTAATGTGTTGCCACCATAGACTGTATAAAAACAGGTTGCCACAGGCTATATGAAGTGCTCCCTCTACAGATCATTAAAGTCATCACAGTAAAACAGCTGGAAAAACTACCTCATTATAAGGCATATTTGGATCAAAAGAAGAATGAAATTTAGAGCAAATATATAATATTACCAATTAATGTTGCTTATCTATATTTATTAAGTAGCAACTGCCAGCAACCAGTCAGCTATCAAATTGATTGTACTATTTAATGTAAGTGTATGCATTGGAATAAATACTAGTGCAAGACCTTAGGCGAAGTCTAGAGATATAGGCTTATATCAACACCTACCCACAGCTACAGATAACAGCATAACACATCAACTGGTTATAATGTGTGAGATTAGTCCTCAGAAAAAGCATATACTGTATTTCAACATGAATCTTTAAAAAACAGCAAGTCACACAGGATGGAAAACTCAGAGTGAGTAGGTCAAAAGTCTCTGTACATATATAGAGAGAGAGAGAGGCACAACTAATAGTGATTTCTCCTCCAGTTGAGGGAGTGCCTTCTCTTCCTCTTCCTGTGGCTCTGCTCTTTTCTCTCAGGCCAGGGAAATCCAGTCGCCATAGCTCTCTCCAGCTCCTCGTAATCCTCATTGTCTGAGTCCTCCTCCTCCTGGACAGGGCAGGTCAGATCTGGGAAAACCTCCCTCAGTTTGGATGTAAAAAAGGACTGTAGACTGTGGCCTGCCTGAGCCACCTCTGAGTCCGGCTGGAGAAAGAAATCAACGCAGTCAGCATCTACAGTATCTGACCTCTTAAGATCTACAGACAACCATATGTCTGACTATATTCCTATACATATTTAATAGTATATCCAACTAAAGTAAACGATCCTCCTACATGCCAATAATGTTCTACCATATTGACACTAATAAATAATTGCATCAAAATCTACAAAAAAAATCTTCATAATTATTTTTGTCTTGTTTTCCACAAAAGTATAAAAGTATAATATAATATATATATACTGGTCAAAAGTTTGGTGTTTTTGAAAAAAGTCTCTTATGCTCATCAAGACCACATTTATTTAATCAAAAATGCAATTAAAACAGTAATGTTCTGAAATATTAACACAATTTAAAGTTTATATATATATATACAGTGGGGCAAAAAAGTATTTAGTCAGCCAAAGCTTAAATTAAGTTTTCTATTTTAATAAATATTATTAAATTAATTTTATTCCTTTGATGGCACAGCTGAATTTTCAGCAGTCTTCAGTATCACATGATCCTTCAAAAATCATTCTAATATGCTTATTTGGTGCTTAGGAAATTATTCTTCTTATTATTCCTATTATATTATAATATATAGAATGAAATCAGTTTTTGCTGCTTAATATTTATGTGGAAAACATGATACAGTACCATTAAAAAGTTTGGGGTAAGATTTAAGAAAGAAAGAAAGAAAGAAAGAAAGAAACTTATATTCAGCAAGGATTTATGACCGTAAAGATTTCTATTTCAAATGAATGTTGTTCTTTTGAACTTTCTATTCATCAAAGAATCCTGAAAAAGATATCAGTTTCCACAAGCACAGCACAATGATAAGAACCATTATTAATGATTGAGCACCAATAATAACTGCTAAATAATTGAACACCAGATAAGAATATTAGAATGATTTCTGAAGGATTGTGCGACACTGAAGACTGGAGTAATGGCTGCTGAAAATCAGCTTTATTACCAAAAGAATAAATTAAAATTAAAAATATATTAAAATAAATTCAGCCTTATTATAAAAAGAAAAAAAATCTTAATTATTCAAAAACGTTTGACTGGTAGTGTATATTAGCAAAAAAAACTTTTGCTGAAAACAATTTTGCTTCTCAAGCAAATGTATCTTTATCTTTCTGCCACAAGTAAACATGTCCATATAATCCTTAAAGAGTGATGTGAGTAAATGGACTGGGGGGCTTGAGCACAACCCCCCCATCATGGCTTGATTTTATGCACCTGTTTCTAATCATGTAACTGCATGGCCACATACATTTAGTAATGCAGTGTACAAAAAATAAAGATGGATTTGGAGGATGACAGAGTGAGATACTGTAAGTAGCCACTTATACATTCTTGTAATTTGATTGACAGGATTAGATGAACAAGCTCCTCCCAAACTTACTTTCAGGACTTCATTTATTATACAATGCAAATACACAGAACGAACACAAATGAGTGTAGTTGTTTTTTTTTAGCCTAATCTATTAAAAATTTAATTTCAGCTAAATTAAACAATGATATTAAAAAAGTAATGCATAATCATTATATCAGTAGGCCATTTGAATGTGAATCAGTTATGAAACTAAATATTCCCCACTAATGGCTAGGAGGAGGTCGATTAACAAAATAATGCATTTCACTCACGTAGTTGAACTTGGCACAGTTTTTGAACATGAGCAGGACATCAGCCACAAACTCTTGCGGGGAACGATAGTGTGTGTTGCTGGTTCTGCTGAGCCTGTTCCGAATGACAGACAAATCCATGGGTTTCTTGATGATCTGATAATAATGACGGGCCTATAAATAGATACAAACAGAAAATGAACAGATAGAAAGATAGATAAAAGTATCATCTACAAATACAAAATCATAAGATATTCATTTTAAAATCACCAGAGGGCTGACAGGCTCATGGAACGGAGTGCTGAGAATGTTGCTGAGGATCAGCAGGGCCATTTGAATGTGAATCAGTTATGAAACTAAATATTCACCACTAATGGCTAGGAGGAGGTCGATTAACAAAATAATGCATTTCACTCACGTAGTTGAACTTGGCACAGTTTTTGAACATGAGCAGGACATCAGCCACAAACTCTTGCGGGGAACGATAGTGTGTGTTGCTGGTTCTGCTGAGCCTGTTCCGAATGACAGACAAATCCATGGGTTTCTTGATGATCTGATAATAATGACGGGCCTATAAATAGATACAAACAGAAAATGAACAGATAGAAAGATAGATAAAAGTATCATCTACAAATACAAAATCATAAGATATTCATTTTAAAATCACCAGAGGGCTGACAGGCTCATGGAACGGAGTGCTGAGAATGTTGCTGAGGATCAGCAGCGTCAACTTCTCGCATTTCTGTGATCAAACAGACAAGTCATCCATCAACAGAGATATTTCACTTTTGTTAGACATACTGTAAATCTCTTGAGGGAGGAACTTTTTTTTGGATTTCGACTCCCAGATCTCTGAGGTCACAGGCTTAGTCAGAGCTAGGCCAGATGAGACTCTGCATCCCCTTCACTTACCCTCTGGTCACACGCCGACAGCCCATATGGTAGCGAACCCGTGGACATCTGGTCATTCTCACAGTCATATTCCACCTCTGGCTGCTCCACATCCCTGCACAGGGTGCAAATCCAGTCGCCTCTGTGGAAGCCCGAGATGATAAAGGTTAGTTTCAGCAGTGAGTAAAGACACAGGTGGATATGTGAAGTAGGAGGGAGAATGGCTTACATGGGGAAACTATGGAGAGGAGGGACATGGCATGACAGGTGAAAGACTTTAGGGCAACGGTCACAGCAGAGAAGGTCTCCTCCGATGAGACAGACCGCACAGAAGTCTTCATTCTCTATCTCCGGGCTTTCCTCTGCAGGTTGATGTTCAACGGCAGGTTCTGATATAGTCTCAGAGCCGGCGGCAGGTGGAAGAACCGGCTGCTCCGCTTCCCATTCAGACTCCGGTTCAAGATTCAGAGTCACTTCGGCCGTGGAATCTGGATCCGATTCAAATTCCTGTTCAGAAGCCGAGAGCACCGATTCAGGAGGCTGCTCTGAAATCACATCTGATTCAGAATCGACCTGCAGTTCGGATTCAGCGCTCGGATCTGATTCCTGCAGGAGCTCCGATTCCACATCTGCATCTGCGCCTGCTTCAGCCTCTCTTGTGGATTCAGTTTGGAAATCAGAACCTGTCACTGATCTGAGCTCAGATGGGGAGTTTAGTTCTTCGGTGTCAGGTTGTGAGATAGGGTCTGAATCATTGGAGATGGCTAGTACACTGGACTCTTGGTTTATGTTGCAAAATTCTTGCACAGGAGGCTGATAAACCTCAAGGGAGCCAGATGATTCACTGCTATGCAGATGTTCTGGTGATAGCTGCTCTATGGGCGACACGCTGTCCTCTGTCTGAACTGACTCCTTATCCAAAGTTCCCTTGAAGGACATTACAATTATTATTATGAACTGCGAGATAATATAAAACCTAGAAAAGCATTTCATCAACATTAAAGTGATACCTGACAAGTGACCTTTCTCTCTAGCACCCTGAAGACAGTTTCTTCAGGTTTGAGTCCAGGCTCTGTTTGAGAAGTAAGGTCTGTGCTCTGATGGTTCTGTGGTGGATGTCGTGACACTAGAATCTTGAGTCGCTCAAGACACACAACTGGAACCTTCGAACCATCTGGGGCTTCTTTATCACTGTAGAAACAAAACCAAAAAAAACAAACCTTCTACCTTTCAACCTTCAAGACAAATTTGCAATGTTTCTAGTAGGACCAGCAATTAATATAAATAAAACCTAAATCATGCATGACTTAGTGCAGCATTGTGTTCTTTTAGACAGGAGTGTCTCAGAGCTGCTCGGTCTGCAGTAAATGAGTTTGGGATGCTTACATCTTCCCTTACTTAAAGGGATAGTTCACCTTCAGTTTCAGGTCCCCATTGACTTCCATAGTATGGAAAAAAAAACACAGTGCAAGTCAATGGGGACCAGAAACTGAAGGTGAACTATCCCTTTAATGAGAAAATTAAGCTATTAAGCCATGACTATTAGTATTGAAATTTTATGACTTAGTGCAGCATTGTGTTCTTTTAGACAGGAGTGTCTCAGAGCTGCTCGGTCTGCAGTAAATGAGTTTGGGATGCTTACATCTTCCCTTACTTAAAGGGATAGTTCACCTTCAGTTTCAGGTCCCCATTGACTTCCATAGTATGGAAAAAAAACACAGTGCAAGTCAATGGGGACCAGAAACTGAAGGTGAACTATCCCTTTAATGAGAAAATTAAGCTATTAAGCCATGACTATTAGTATTGAAATTTGTTACAGTTTTTACAATATTATACCATTTATTATAATTATATTTTTCTCAAAAAAAAAAAAAATTCTACAGGGAAATATTGCAATAGTGATATTTCTTATACTGTTTAGTATTTTTACTTGTATAATAATAAAATAATAATAACCATAATCAAATACTGAATAATATTATTATTTTATAGTCATATTAATATATAATCACAACATTTTTGCCCAAATTGTGCAGCCCTATAAATAAGCACATTAAACCTGGAGCTTTTTCTCTTTTTTTAGTTTTTAAATTTTACCTGGTGTCTGGATCTTCTCGAGACAATCTTTTCTTCTTTCTGGTTTTCAGCCTTCTGTTTTCATAGGCATATGCATATACGTTATCTGAAACCATGAAAATGCCATTTAGACGGATTAATCCACTACGAAATGTCCTCATTATGTATTTCTATTGTAAGTTGAAAATGAAAGAAGCTTATTTATAAATCCTAATCGGCCTCTTAACCTGGTTCAGACTTGTAGGTGGTCAGAGAGGATGCAGTGTGACTGTTTATATGTCCTGGGATCATCTCAGAAGCATCGAGTCGTGCACAGACCAGCTGAAATACAAGCAGCAAACAGTAAAATCAAAGTTATGAAACACTGCCACTTTGATGACAGGTAATGGATGCAGTGATGTCACAACATCAGCATGTAGACTAAATCAGCAAATATGAATGTGAGCCAACAGTGAACTTGTTAAACTGAATGCAATCAGTTATGTGGGCTGCTGAATCTAATTTGATCTCAAACAGAAAGAGGTTAAAGAAACTGTTTCCAAGACAACAGTTATCTTATTTGATGTACATCATCTGGTTTATCCCTTAAAAGGCAAATAACAGAGCTGTGTGCACTGGAACAAAGGTGTTTTGCACTGAATTACAGAGAGACATGTTTGAAATGAACTTTAAAAGGAATCGTGATGAAAAGCAATTCAGGACAAGAGCATTTCATCAATGTCAATTAATATTAATATAGTGAATTATTCATACCAATGTACTATTTGTGGGGTCCGTGTTTAACATTATGACTACACTTCTATGCTATTTCACACTGAAAATAAAATTAGGCGGTGAAAGAATTTTCACTCTTGATAGTACATTTCACAACTAATTACAAAGAAATCGAAACTCATTGAATTAAATGTGAAATGTTGAAGTAGAAAACTGAAATAATATTTTCTTGAAAAAAAAAATCTAATAACCCTTGTTTTATTTACAACTTTGAAAAAAAAATTAAAAAAAATTCTGTGTAGAAACAATGCTGAGTTTTGGCTCTAAACCTTTTTGTCTCCAAGGCCTCACACTGTCCACAACAATATAAATAAATTATTTATTTATTTAATTAATTTGTGGAAATTGGAAGTGTACACAGATCAAATATGCAATTAAAATACTTATAATTTAAATTTAAATCAATTATACTGAAATAATATTTTCTTGAAAAAAAAAATCTAATAACCCTTGTTTTATTTACAACTTTGAAAAAAAATTTAAAAAAATTTCTGTGTAGAAACAATGCTGAGTTTTGGCTCTAAACCTTTTTGTCTCCAAGGCCTCACACTGTCCACAACAATATAAATAAATTATTTATTTATTTAATTAATTTGTGGAAATTGGAAGTGTACACAGATCAAATATGCAATTAAAATACTTATAATTTAAATTTAAATCAATTATTTGGGACCACTGCACTAACACAAGTCTCCATGTCTACACTCTTAAAATTAAAAGTTCTAATTTTGACATTGATGGTTCCATGAAGAATCTTAACATCCATGGTACCTTTCCATACCACAAAAGGTTCTTTATAGTGGTAAAAGGTTCTTTAGATTTTTTAAATGGTGGTGGTTCTTTTAAGAACTGTTCACTGAGAGGTTCTTTGGGGAACCAAAAATTTGCATCGCTGTGAAAAGAGGGTATATTTGTCTTGCCACATATATAGAAAGTTTACCTGCTGCGTTGTGCATCCCTGGTCCCCAGCCACTGTTGCCAGGCTGTGAGCAGCCCTGGTCAGCCTGTCTTTACAGAGCCTTTTACGAGGTCCTCTGGGTCCTTTTGAGATGCTCTGAGACCTGGTCGCCCTCTTCTGGCCGTCACCTCCTCGGCCTTGAGCCCGCGTGAACATCTCTAGCGCCGAGGATCTCTACGGAAGAGAGCCAAAGTCTCATTAGCGCAGCACTAGGCTAAAAGTGATCTCGACAGCATATGCGCCACACTACAACCATAGCAACAGTGACAACAGAGGACATGAAAGTGAGGAACAACAACCTTGAGTGTGACAATGCACAGTAGCTACACTAGTTTGGAGCAAAAGACAGAACAATCACATCTTTCAAACGCAGAGAGAAAAGTGCCGCAACTCCGTATGCTACAAAATTATTCTCCTGATAATATATGACTTAGTTACAGCACCAATTATCGTATGTAAATCCCACATCTGGGGCATGGAAGGCTTCTTTGAATAAGCAGCATTAACACATCAGAGATTAGACTTTCTCTCCTCCACGGCCCTCTTCTTCTCTTGTCATCGTTTCACTAATGCGAGAAGTTGTGGAAAAGCCCAAGCGACTGCATCCTTCACTAACACGACAAATGTCAGAGTTGGAGGCAGCAGCCCGTACGCTCAACGTAACCCCTCCTCCATCTGTCTTTAAGCCCTCTCTTGTTTTTTTCCCTCTCTCATAATTACCTCAGGATTAAAAACACTCACCTGATAGAAGCCCAGGAGGACAGGGTGGAATGAATCAAGCTGTGGAGAGTGTGTCTTGCAAGTATGTGTGGGTGCAGAGAGAAGGTAGGAGGTCTCAGAGACTTTAGAGGTAATCGTGTGGGCTCTACAGCGAGATGAAGAAGAATGCAACAGCCGGCTCTTTCAATTCCCCTAGCTTCTCATTAATGCCAGGTTAAGTAAATATGTGGTTGCACCCAAGCGCTTTTTTCCCTCCCTTTAATCATGTCACAGTTATGGGCTGAAGATGATACATAAAAAAATAAATCTTAGACTAATTTGCCTCTGGAGTGCCAAATCTTACAGGGAAACTGATTTTGATTGGTGTTTGTCCTAGGAAGATTTATCAAAATACTGACATCAAGAGAACTAATAATAACTTCTATCGCCTGGTTTGGTTCTCGTCCAATACAGCTTGAGGAGCGGATGCTGAGCAGAGCGAGTTTGTGTGTGTGCGTGTTATTTTGTGGTCTTAATTGTTTCTGAGCTCACACCACTGTTGTCCTCACTTATGTCTCACCATCTGCTTGCAGAAGTGCTGTCAGCAGCTGTCAAGATGAAAACACATTACAGTCGCATAAATAGAGATGATGCTGCCTGGAATGATTCAATTTCCTCTTTCTAAATTAATATTGAGAGCGGTGGAGCTCGTTTCGATGTCGAGTTTACTGTTCTCACGCCGTCATCCACTCCAAATACACTTAAATCACAAGCACAACATGAGCAAAGTGAGCAAATGTTTGAACTGAAATAGCAAAAACATTCAAAAAAGACGAAAAAGAAACTACAGTACATGGGTGGTTGACATGAAATGTGACCGTGGCAGCAGTGTGACAAGCATGTCAGAAGTGTGACGTGTGCTTAATCGAAAACTTTTTTTTTTAATAATTAATGATCTTTTATATAATACTTTATAATAATCACACACACACACACACACACACACACATATTATGAATACTATTATTATTATTATTATTTAATATACAGCATGCAAGTTTAAATACAAGTTAAAATAATAATCAATAATAATATTATATATTTAATATATAATACTAAATTAAAATTTTCATTACTGATTAATTGCTTGTAATTTTTATGACCTCATACAGCATAAAAACATTTTTACTATATTATTTTGCTTATAATTACTACCGGATAAAATATTTTAGCTTGGCCTAAGTATTAAAATCTTTATAATATTCATAAAATGTATAAAAATTGCCCATGGATTGTATTAATTTATATGGCTTTTCCAGGTCTACAAATTATACTTTTATTATTAGGCTACCTCATATACCAGAGATTTCAAGTGTTTTTAAAGAAAACAATTTTTGAGGGGGTGAATTAGAATAAGAAATATCTATTGTGTTTAATTGTTTTAGCTTATTTTAATTGTTGTTGGGGTTTTTTTCTTTAGATCTTTAGTCCCCATTAGAAGTTTGCTGAAAACCCCTAGTGGGTCCCGGCCCCCTGTTTGTGAGCCACTGTCATGGAGAGACTACATGGAATATCTGTACTTCATAAACTCATTTGCTGCACTGCAGGACAATTGAAATGACTTGTACAAATGCTACTAGATGATTAATAATAGTCATGGTTAATAATAGTTAAAAAAAATGACCTGTCACTTCGCTGAGAATGTATACTTTCCATTCATTCATTCATTCATATAAGTTTTGACCTAAAATCTTGACACTGAAAAACAAATGATCAACTACCAAAATGAAAGTCAGTATACTGTAAGGACCCCACACTTGAGCCCTCTCCAATGCATCAGCACATTTGCAGTGCTGCTCGATGGCCTTTTCATCTGCTAGGACTTGTGGTGTGGACCAGTTAACGGCGTGGTTGACATGCAACCTTTGCAAGCACTAAAGAGCGCCAGGCCTGAGAACTGTGGTCAGTATCGAGCACGATGAGAGCAAAGGTACTGCTTTGCAAAGGACAGATAAACAACGACACATTAATGAAACTCACCCTGTCATCATCGATGCGAGCAACGATAGGCTGCAATTCAATCATGGGCTGGTTGCTGGTTTCTGTGGTTGTCTGCACTTGAGCCTGATTGCGGACCTGCGGCAGCTCTTTGTCTGGTGATGCTTCTTGCCCTGTAACTGCTTCGGGTGCAGATGTTTGCCCTCTTTCACAGGGAGGCAGGCCTGGTGCAGCATTTCTCCCGTCCACGGCAGCCTGGTTGGAATTAGCAGGGAGCGGCTCAGACAACGGGTGGTTGTTGGCTACGACGGGCTGTCGAGGTGAAGCGGAGCTGGTTCCATGCTGGACAGGGTCAGATCCAGGGTGAGAGGTGGACTGCTGTAGAGGCTGAGCTCCAGGTGGATGCACCAGGACAGATGCATCAGCCTCACAGCAGCTGTGAAGAGATGGCGGGGAGCTCCGCCTGGCGGCCTGTGGACACTGGGAAGGAAATTTATCCAAAGGGACGGATTGAGTAGGTCTGCAGTGAAGACAGCAGAGCTGGGGCTGGCAGAAGGTCTGGCAGGCGCAGCCAGGTTCCCGTACAGCATGGCACAGAGGAGGCATTGCTATGCATGGGACAGTCTGGGGTCGCAAGATACTGGGATGACCCACAACCTCTGGGTATGAACGACTTCCACCTTCAACAACCAGCTGACCTAAAGCAAGAAGGAATCATTGCTGTGCTTGCGCAGCAACAGATATTCCTAATTTTTCTTCTTCTGCACTAGTAACACTAGTTATCGTGTAACACTTATCTTGTGCTAGTGGCAGAAACATTAAAGGGGTCATATGACGTTGCTAAAAAAGAACATTATTTTGTGTATTTGGTGTAATGAAATGTGTTTATGCGGTTTAAGGTAAAAAAAACACATTCTTTTCCACATACTGTACATTATTGTTTCTCCTCTATGCCCCGCCTTTCTGAAACGCGTCGGTTTTTACAAAGCTCATAGTTCTAAAAAAGCGAGGTGTGCTCTTATTGGCCAGCTATCTAGTGCGTTGTGATTGGCCGAATTCCTCAAGCATGTGACGGAAATGTTATGCCCCTTACCATACTGTGATGGCGTGTCCCGGCCGGAGCGACGAGACAAAACCAATAAAACCCATTATAAACAAGGCATTTGTTGCATCCAGTGGGGACATAATTACTGATTATAATGACTTATACTGTCTTTTTACACGTTGCATTGTGCCGCGTAAACATAAAACCATGTCTGCATTTGTGATCGGAGAAACGACAAACAACAAGCGCTACTCTACACTGCTCAAAACTCACGTTTGAATCGTCAGTGGCAAATACTTTAAATATAAAAACGTACTTACAGGCTGTGAGTCAGCATTATTTGTCAGCATCATAGACGTTATAGGGTCAGCATGCACGCCGAAGGGGAAACAGGGGAACTGAATTCACCGGAACACCGGCATTGTAGGCAACTCTCCCAGGAAACAGTCCTCGTCCTCCATAAAATGAGCTGCACACATCTGAATATTTGCGTTGAACTGTTCTGGTGTTGTAAATACAACTTAACCACTGATTTCTAGTTGTGTCCTCTTTTGGAAGACCAAACAAAGTAGTTTCGCTTTCACAACGAAACACATGACATGGCGGTGGCGGCAACGAAAATAAACAAAAATAAAAGTTACGCCTTCTTTATTTGCATATACATTTGGGCGGTGTTATGCAAATCTTCCCACACAGTGACGTAGACATGTGGGGGCGTGTTAGAACGAGCCGTTTTAGGGGGGCGTGGACGAGTCTTAACTTTTATAAAGAATATCTCTTTGGGTTCGAGACTTTAGTCTTTGCAACTTTAGGGATCTTATCTATTCACGAACAGCTTGTAACACTCCAAAGAGAAAGGAAAACTTGAAATCGCATCATATGACTCCTTTAAGAAAGGTATTTTTATGTCCTCAGTGATAATGAATATATATTAGCATCATAATGTGCATTTTCATCTCGTCTTCCCTTCCCTTTTCACTATAGATATACAGTATATATATATCACTATATATTATTTATTTATATTGTAAAAATATTTTTATTGTCCAAAGACAGATTTATATTTATTTATTATTTTTTATTAGATATTGTTGACACTGCACTATCATCAACTAAAATATTTTTGTTAAAATTAAATGCAATGCTAGTGAAATTCATGAATTATTATGGCATGAATAAATTTAAAGAATATTTTCATCAAAACAAAACTATGAGATAAGTATTTTTTAAAGACATTTAAAGATTAAACTCATTAAAATGCCCAACTGACATTGTTAGTTACAATGTTCTCCATTTTAAATGAACAGAAGTGATGATGGCATTATGATATTTTGCACAAGGCACTGCGATTGGCCTATTCTTCATTTTATAGCCACCTTTACACTGCAACCAAATTTCATTTACACAGAACCAAATTCTAAACCCTAAGCTCATCTTTAACTTTAAAACCAGTTTTTGAGGGCTTGAAAACACTGGAATTTCCTTCCTGGAATGTGAAAATCTAGTTTGACATTATCCTTGTATGAATAACACAGCATATATAAAAGTTATAAAAATAGCCATCTAATGGCATTGTCCAATAGCTCGGTTTACCTAAAGTGGACATCTGCTTGGTCCAGAAGCTGGCATCCCAGTTAAACTTGATTTTCAACGGGGTCCAAGCCTCTGAGAGCATCAGTGGCTCCAATAATTGCTGCATCTGAAGAGCAATCTGACAAATGAATTATAGATCAAACCTCATGATTACAGAGACACCGAGTTATAAATATCGCATGCAATTCTGGCAGTGAAACTGAAACTTTTTCTCTCTATTTTTAAGCTTGCGAGAAAATGATTAAGGCTAGTTCTAAATGCAGCCTCAAAAAAGAGGTGAGGCTGCTTTAAACTAATAGAGCCGACAACTTTTTGAGACCTGCCAGAAATGTAGCAGGCAGCTGCCAAGAATCTTAACATCTGAAGCCCACTTGGACAGGAGAAAATCCTACCAGCTCTTTGCTGAATAGCAGTGGATTGCATCTGTGGTGGGCTGTAGCCCAGGTAATGAAGTTCTGCAAGTGCTCCAGCTGGCTGCACAGCTCTATGGCCCCCTGCAGCTGGTCCTCCAGACGCTGCTTGAAATCACTGGAGATACTCTGCAACCGGAAGACAACGACAAAAACGTGGATCTCCTCACTGCTTTTCCTAAGATCCCCATCTGCTTGGCAGAATCTGCCTATTTTGCATGATTCGCTCAGAAGACGTTCTGTTCCGCACTCTCCATCACCACTACATCCATGGATGTTAGAAAGACGGAGAGGGAAACTAGGGAAAAAGTAATTACCTCCAGTTGTTCTATTAATAGGTTGGCCCGTTTGTTAAGCTCGTTCATCATAATCATCTTAGCCATTTTTATCTGGTTCTCTGCCTTCCTCTGCGTGATCTTTATACCATGGAGCCTGGACAAATGGAAAGAAAAACGAACAGGGAGATGGGTGAGGGAGGATAAACAAACCGATATGACCGGTACATCTGGATGCCTGAACATCTGCCGAAATCATTCAAGGGAAGCAATGGATCTTGTCAACGTCATTATGCTTTACATAAACTATGCTTGTCGTCTTAAAAATCCCAGCTGTTCACATTTCAGATGAGTAATGGACACGCTTTGTTTAACTAGCATTAACGCTAACATTAGCAGCATCGTGGAGGTGAAATAGGTGGGATTTTGTCTCACCTGCCCTGGATCTGTTTAGCGGTGCTCTCCACAGCAGATCTCTTCTCCTCTACTCGGGCCATGAGGTTCTGCAGGAGCCAGCGCTGGTCTTGCAGAGCCTTTCCAACGTGCACCAGTCTAAAGATAAGAAACCAACAGCCAGTGAAACACCTTTGACTTTTAACGTTTACACACAACATGCTCGATAGCATATTTGTTGATACGTGAGAAAGTGGCCACCTGTTCTGTTTGCATCTTAGCGCATGTGTTTAGGAAAGCGTATGAGAGAGAGAGAGAGAGTGTTTGCATGTGTACAAGAGCATTGTGAACGTGGCCATGCGTGGCAGTGGGTGTGTGTCCTCTATGCATACCGATGGTCTTTGTGGGCTGACAAGTGACAGATGCTGCAGGCCATGAGGTCGCACGTTTCACACAGGAGTTCCAGAGGCTCCTGTTTATGGAGAGGACACATGACAACTGCATGCCCGCAGCAACCGGCTCCTGAGACACGCAACACAACAGAAGAGAGGAAATGAGGCCTAATTAGCCGATTCCCATTAAGAACACATTATCTGTAATCAAGAATCAAATATTTAAAAGAAATGTTACAATGGAAAAATGCAGGAAAACAAATGTGTTAATATGGCCATGTGGAATCTCTCAGAGTTCTGCAGGTTTAATGAGGCTTTAAGTATGTTCGAATCATTTTGACCAATATAGCGTGAAAGTCCTGGCTTGGCCTCCGTGAGTCACGCTCTATGCTAGCTAGCTTCATTTATTTTTAGTGGAGAAACAAAGCACATCAAAATCCTTATAAATAATTCTGGACGTATAAATGCATCATTTTTCCAGCAAAAGAAAAACAGACACAAATGGAACACAGCAGAGCTTTGATCAATCAGTTAATGTCTCATTAAAAGCCCTGCCAATATGAGGAATGTAACTCTACATGTGCTTTTGAAGAGCCAAATAAAGTAACAGATACTGCTTTCACGTGTGCCTTCAGAATGGCCCACATTTCACACAAACACCTTGCACTGGACATTTAAAAAAAGTATCACATCAGAATGCTAAGTTTACATGATCATGCAAACTACATAAATAGACAGGTTTTTAACTGTTTTATTTTAAATTTATTTTTAAAATATCACATCAGAATGCTAAGTTTACATGATCATGCAAACTACATAGACAGGTTTTTAACTATTTTATTTTAAATATTTTTTTTAATTTCACATCAGAATTCGAAGTTTAAATGATCATGTGAACTACATACACAGACAAGTTTTAACTACTTATTATTTTATTCTATTTTATATATTTTTTTATTTATATTATTATAATTTGTTTTTGCTTTTGAAGAGCCAAATAAAGTCATATGTATTTCATGTATGAATGAATTTAAAAATATCAGAAAAAACCTACAGACAAGTTTTAACAATTTCATTTTATTTCACTTAAATAATTATAATTATTTTGTTACTTTTTATTATTTAAAAACATTTTTTTTTCAATAAATTTAAAGTTAAATGACAATGCATTCATATTTTATGTTTATTAAAAATAAAATAAATTCAAATTAAATTATTTTATTTGAAATCTAAACCTATTTGTTTCTGTTTTAGATATACAAATAAACCCCAAAAGAAAACACCAGAGATGCCTGGCGAGGTTTTGACATTTTTTTTCCAGAAATTAGTTTCTTTGAATAAAGACATCTGCATTAACCTGGGCTGAAGCAAAAGGCATAAACAAATAAATCAAACATTCTCATTTCCATTCCATTGTAGCAAAAATCCTAATCTAAATATACCATTATTACTTGAATATTCCCTTTGCATACATAATTCTGTGAGCAGAGAGAGTTAGTCAGGCAGAATGCAGAACTCCATTAGAAATGAAGGACCTCAACCGACAGCACCTGTCACACTGGATATACAGTCTGTCAATCAGAAGCGCCGGCAGTGTAGGGTAGACAGAGACACGCTGACACATTGCACAGGGAGAGATGTGTTAAAGTACGAGACCACAGGCTCCAACACTGAAGAGCTCCCACTGCCTCAGTGCATACTGGTGACCGACCACATCCTGCTTCACACCCGCACTTCTGTTTCTCTCACACTCTACCACTCTTTCTTTTTCTTTTGTTCTTTTATCACTCCATCTCTCATTTTCTGTGAGGACTTGTGGTGTCGTTGTCATACGTTAAGTGGATTTCCGAACATCTTGAGAGAAAGCTCAGGAGTATCGATAAAAGAAAGCTAGCATTGGACAGGCTGGCCAAATTTGTGCTGCGTTTGCTGAGAGAGAATCAGTTTTAGAAAGTGGGTCACATAAAAAAATACAACACTACAATACATCACAGGATAATTATTCACTTATTATAAAATGCATTATTCATAGAGTTAAAGAAGAGGGTTAGAAAAATATGGTGCGGAGCTGATAATGTCCAGTGGCCAAGAGCAGAAATGTGCAAGCAAACAGCCGACCTGAGCTAAAAGAGGAAAGCAATTACAGATTGGTAAAAGAAAGACGCTCTTGCCTATTTCAGACGGTGATGGAGGGTCTCGCGGCTGGTGCTGCAGGTCAAAGGGTTGAGTGGAGCTTCTCTCATGCTGATGCAAGTCTGTGCACTGGAAACACAGCCACTTGTTGCAGAAGGTGCACAAGCTCTGTGCCATCCTGGGCTCTGAACACTCAGAACAGCACTGCAGATACATTTCAAATGAATTTGATTCTTTTGCATTCCAATAAAACAGGATTTGCTGACAAATCTGTAAGCCACAAATGAGTGGGCGTCTTACCACAACAACTAATCTAGCAGGCATAAACTGCTAGATTAGTTGTTCAAGTAGCACTTCAAAATATCAAAAGAAGACATTTTGAAATCTGAAAACCATGAAAAGTTTTTTTATGTTGTCAGTTAATGTTGTTTCGACCCCGTTGACTTTCAATATATATCTTCTTTTGTGCTCCACGGATATAAAAGAAGGTCATACAGGTTTGTTTTTGTTGGATGAATTATCACTTTCAACTACTCAAGCTGTCCACTGGGACTTAATATTCATAAGCCAAGCACTGTTGTCATGAAAAACAATATAAAGTATTCATTCTGAACCCTGCACTTGCTGTGCTTTAATGACTCAATAGAAAGCAACGCCGCCTGTTCAAAGGACGCCAAAAATATTCGCATTTGCATTTCGCATTATTATTCCCAAAAAAGCATAACTGGTGAAACAATAACACATCATGCGTCATCTGTGTGTCACAAGAAGCTGCAGTTCGCTGATAACCTCGGTGTCAAATCAAAGACAATTCAAATCTCACAGATTCGAGCTTGCAAAATCATCCTAAAGATTGAGTGCAGAAATGTCTTACCTTCTCCATGCCGATGGCAGGATATGGATTCCTCTGCGTGTGCGCGTGAGAACGATTGCGATATCCAGCAGAGCAGCTCTCGCAGCAAGGACACGGCAAGCCTCTGACACAGCTAGAGCTCCACACCACACTGTGACAGCTCTACCTGCGGCAGGAAGTAGTGCACACTGCACTCTTTAACCCCAGCGGAGTAGACTCATGAGTGTGTCCTCAGCCGTGGCCGGCGCGTAGCTCTCCTCATTGGCTTTCTTCAGCTGCTCGGATCCCGAATACTTCCCTCTGATAGCCACCATGATCTTTCTTCTTAAATAAGCCTGTTCATAATAATTGGGAATTAGGGAGGGCTGATAATTATTTTTTTTTCTGGGACAAAATATCCCCGGCAGCCCTTGTTGCCAAAAATGGAAGGGGAGAGGTGCCAGATGACCTACAATATTTAAGAGAATCGCGCGGAGGAGCGCAGGCGAAGGGTGTGAGATGGATGGGGGATGAGGGAACACGTTGGTGCCCTCCTTCCGCGCTTCCTTAGATCAGCACTAGTAAGGGACAGGTCCCTCCGGACCGGGCCCGCTCCCACGTAACACGCTGAAACCGGGTCAGCCTTCTCCAGGAGCAGATGGGAATTGAGATGTGCTCGCACAATGCCCTGCAAAGCGTGAAATCAATTATGATCCTACCACACTTGCTCTTCTCGAAAGAATTTGGAGGTATGACTTCCTCAAAGTCTTTCTCAGGTAGGAGATGTTCAACAACCGATGCATAAGGCAGGTGGGCGGGCAAACGGGATTGGAGGAATCTAATGAAACCCGAACTGACATCGGTGTCATGCGGATCCCCTCTAAGAAAGCACCTCTACCACCGTGAGTCTGCCTGACAACAACCCCTGCAGCCTGACCTACAAATCTGACAACTCTCTCTTCCTCTAGAGCTGCTCATGGGAGCTTAAAACCATCCCATTCCCCATTGTGTACCCACAGACCCACTTTAAAACACAATTAGTCTACCCAGCCAGTCTTTCTCTTGTTCTTCGGGCAGACAGGCATGTCTGCGTCTCCCTCCTTGCCTTCCATGCCACTCCATTTGGCTTTTAAAACAAAAAGCTCACACACTCTCTCTCTCTCGCTCTCTCTTTGGTCCTACTACAAAAGATGACTCCTTTTCTCCAGTAAGTGGATTCAGCACGAGTATCTTTCTGCCTGAGCAAGCACAGTCATCTCTAGAGGAAGTACATTAATAGAAACTTGAGAGGAGGTTCCTCCCCTGGAAGAACACCTTAGTAACATCCATTAACATCATTGGTTATGAGATCATGACAGGGGAATGGCAGATTTGCCCATAGCAGATGGTAATGGCTCAGTACAGATTATTCAATTCATTGCGTCTTCACTCATTACAAGTGAATGTTTATTATAGCCAATTATCGGTTTGGAGATTGAAGTCCTAACATGCACAGAGAAAAGGCCTTTTCTTGGTAATCTGAAAGAATGAAGTATAGCAAAATGGTAATCAGTCATGTCCTTAATATAAGAGATACGAACTTAATCTAATGTTTAAATTACCATTGGGCCTCTGAGATGATTATTTCCTTTTCATGTGTAAATATGCAGTTATTTGTCTAGTGAGACAGAATATTTGATTGTAGCATAGTGCAATGATGTGATGTCCCATTAAACAAGCTACAAATAACCAGTTGTCAGTCACATGATTTAGTGTGGAAATTAGAAAAAAAAGATGTTATAAAAAAATGATCATGCATTGGGAAGAAAGATTTCTAAAGGAGTCAGTATCATTCTAACAGGTGAAAGGGAAACACTGAAAACATAACGTAAACATTTACATAAAAAAAGAATGAAATATAAAAGATCATACTTATATTAATATTAAATCATTCCATTTTGAGATAAAATGGAATGAAAGAAAATGGAGATGAGCAGAGGTAAATGTGCCCAGATTAAGAGAAATTACTGTAGGCTACCTATGATAAACTACCATAAAGACAAGTTTCCAGACATCAACTCAGTGCACATGAGTAATATATATATATATATATACACTACAAATAAAGTAACTCTTTAGCAACAAAGGAAGTAAAAACTTTTCGGGATGGCGGGATGGGTGGTCTAGTAAATGTACATTTTCATACAAGTATATATTTTTAATACAAGTAGAGATAGGCCTATAATAAGTATTTTCGTTTAGAATGTAAGTCACAGCGCGTATGTTATCGATGCTAGTTCGCCTAAAGGAGGTAACCATAACAACACTATGCTGCGCACGCGTATTCCAGTACGGTAAATGATGGGTTATGATTAAGCTACTTCGACAGACTACTACTTCGATCCACAAGTCATAGAGGATAACTTTATAGACTTACAGAAATATACCAGCAGAAAAAAAGATTCTAGCGTTAGTTTGAAAAAGAACCCTAACCCAAATTACAGCTTGCGTTGCAAGACGAACCTGAATTACCGCCTCAATAAATGACCTTTTACATTTAGCTTGCATGAACAAATTTAACAGACGTAAGTGGTCAAATTCATACTTGCACAGAACGCTAGACGCAGTATAATTTGCACAAATAGGACAATCAATCAGAAAGGTTGAAATCAATCTGTACCTTCAATTTTAAACTGTAAATGACAGTAACTGGAGTCACATATAAATGGTAAATAACTATCGAGTGAAACAAATTCTTGTTAAGGGATTCTGCAGACACAGAGTGATAAAAGGTTGTTTCTTTAAAATTCCTCCAATTATTCACTTTACCTCGCATTATTTAGGCTACTTTAAAAATACAACTAAATCATTCAAAGAATCGTCCAGGCAACTCCATAGAAATACTTCATCAAAACGAGCACTGAGGAAACATACGAACGCTTTAAATAGTTCACTGACATGATACGATACATCACATGTCAACATGCGCACTGTTTTGGGAAGAGTCTTCTCGCACACCTCACAGATGGGATGGGACTCCACAAAATCCTGCACAAACTGCTCACATACGTGGCAACATTCGTGTTTAGCGCAATATAGAGCGTTACTTAGCATAACCACACACCGACGATGAAATAGTGATGAACGCAAGCACACATAATGAGTTTGAACCGCACCTTGCTTCTCTTGAAGAGGCACAAATCCAAAAAACATCCTCCTCCTCCTCCTCCTCTTCGGCGGCTCGAATCTTACAGCGATTTCAGCAATGCTTCAGTGACTAAATAGCTTCCCATCACCATATCCTTTAAAGTCTTTCTACACCCGGAGACTATATTTCTTACACGCGTTTGGTTTTATTCCCTCTATCGTTCAACTGTCAAAAGGCAAAATCGTGCATGCATCTATAGTGTAGATGCACAAGTTTCATTGTGCGGTCTCCAGGAGATGTGTGGAAGATGTCGCCACGTAATTAAAGTTACAACGAACGCGAGCGCATTATCAATCCTGTCCTTCACCTCCTGGATTTCTTCGTGATACGCACCCCGCGTTGCGCACTAAAGTTCTTTACCTTTAAATGTCGCTTGCATCCAATCCAGCAGATGTCGCCTTTGTCTCAGTTTTCTTGTACTTACAGGTGAGGGAATGAAGTTTATGGATGCAAGATTTCCCATTTTACCGCACGTTCAATTGATTTACTTTCAGCAACAGACAGTATACACTCTTAAAAATAAAGGTGCTTCACGATGCCATAGAAGAACCTTTTTGTCTAAATGGTTCCATAAAGAACCTTTAACATCTGAAGAACCTTTCTGTTTCACAAAAGCTTCTTTGTGGTGAAAGAAGGTTCTTCAGATTATAAAAAGGTAAGAAAGAGATGGTTCTTTAAAGAACCTTTGACTGAATGGTTCTTTGTGGAACCAAAAATGGTTCTTCTATGGCAGTTTCTCAACCAGGGGTCCGTGGACCCCTAGTGGTCCTTGATGTAAGGTCAGGGGGTTCGTATAAAGTATGAATTTTTGTATACATTTTGTATATTTTGACATGACATGTTCCCATAAAAGAAAAATCCAATATAGCTGATGATATGGCCAAATACTGGACAAGTCAGCTCAATTGAATTATACTTGACTGTATTTGGTCTTCACAAAGACACAAATGATACATAGATGAGTCCGTTTTGTTCTGGGGGGTCCTTGAGGATGGTTCTGAATTGGACTGGGGTCCGGTATGCCAAAAGGTTGAGATTCACTGTTCTGTGGCATCGCTTGAAGAACCTTTTGAAGCACCTTTATTTTTAAGAGTGTAGAGAGCGTTCAGTTGCTTGTCTAGAATAATGAATCACATTATTGTTAGGGTAAGTTAAAAAAAAAAATTATATCAGTTTAGAGAGTATAATATTGTTAGGGTTAGATAAAGATGTTTATATCAGTTTCATGTGTTTAAAATCTCAAAAGCCAAAATCCCATAAAATTGGAAAAGCCAAAAGTGTTTGATCAGGGTCACTATAATTGGCATTTTTATCCATAAATATATGTATAGCTAATACAGTTTTTCAGAGTGTTAAAAATAGTATTTATTAGTAGGCCTATTTGTATGATTTAGTATTTGGTATGCAATTATATGTATTCTATGGTATCCACTTCAACAGCTTTTATAACTGAACTGTCATATTTTTCTTGGTAGTGCTACGAGACACCTTTGTTGTGGCACTTATGGAGAAAGATGTCGGTTCTGCACTTGCTCTCTCTTCAATACCTGCCAATGGGGAGTGGACTGCGACGTAGATTGCATTAAAATATTTATTAACGCAAAATATTTGATATAGAATTGTAGTTTTTTAGAAATGTATTGGATGTTTGTGACAACAACGAAAAAACTTCAAACTTGATCAGTTTAAAGAGAGGTTTTTGGAAACAAATGAAATAAGACAAGACTGAATAAATGGTAACTTCTTTCTAGAAAATTATATTAATTTAAATGTAATTTAAGCAATTTTCTTGTTCATTTAAAATGTTATGCATAGAAAAGAATATTGCATTTTATGCATTGAACAAAGTCTGCCGAAGGCTTGTTGAAAAAGGATCTTGCTCTCAACTCAAACATTTGAGTTCAGGTCAACAAATAAAAATAGAATTTTGGGAATTTTTGGGATGACTGCAAACTCCATTTCCATTATCTGTGTTCTCCAGACACTGGCTATGGATTGAAATACACATATGACCAATTCAGGAGTTGTATATTTGTTTCTATAATATAGCAAAAATGTGTCAAGTTTCAAAACATTCCCAGTGTATTATTCATTACTGCTATTTTAAGCACGGAAAGGCCAGACTAAAAGGATAGGAATATCTTCACTGAACAGATAGTCACAGCAAGCTAGGGTCTGCTTCTATGGTCCTAAACATTTTGGGACAAAGTAGTTAATTAAAGCAGAATGAGAAATTAACAGAAAAACTTTATTGATTTTTTTTTTATTAAACATTGTAAATAAGGTAATTATACTCTTCATGTGTTAATAAATGCACAAAATACAATTCATGGAGAAATTCTAGCGTTAAATACTACACACCCACTGTACATCCACCTGTCAAGTTTCCATTCATACATCTCATCCAGCTCAACACAGTTAACTCTAAGGGTGGAGGCTATACTGCAATATAACCATTCATACTCTCAGTAACATACTATTATTTATCTAGTTTCATATACAAAGTACCAGGAAAGGTAACAACAGAGCTACATGTGAGATTAACAGCACAGCTTTCATAAATATGTACAAAAATATGAACGTCAGAGTCAACACAACAGGCACATCTTAACATACGTGACTTAGCCGTGTTAGGTCTTCAGATGTAGCATTTGTAGAAAATGTCCACAGTTTTTGGTTTCACAATAAAGTGTTTCTAGTTCTTTTTATGAAGGAACTTCATTTTATTTCCTGAAAAAGGATGACATTTTGATGCATCAAGTTGATATGCAGTGTCTGATATGCCTTTTTATAAACAAGCTTTGTACTTACATATGTCGACTACCAGACAAAAGTTTGGAACATTTAAGATTTTTCAATGTTTCTGTAATAAGTCCCTTACACTCACCAAGGCTGCATTTATTTGATCGAAAGCACAGTAAAAACAGCAATATTGTGAAATATTATTACAATTTTAAAAGCACTGCTTCTAATATTTTAATATACTTTAAAATGTAAATTATTCCTGTGATGCCAAAATTGAATTTGCAGCAACCATCACTTCAGTCTTCAGTGTCACATGAAAGTAGAAATAGAAAGATGGAATAGAAATTTCAAAAGAACAACATATATGAGAAATAAACACATTTTGTAAAAATTATAAATGTCTTTACTGTAACTTTTTGATCAATTTTGTGTGCCCTTGCTGAATAAAAGTATTAATTTATTTATTTTTTATTAAATTAAATCTTATTTACCCCAGACGTTTGAATGGTAGTATATCAGTTTGCCACAAAAATATTAAGCACAACTGTTTTCAACATTAGTAATAACAAGAAATGTTTCTTGAGCACCAAATCATCATATTAGAATGGTTTCTGAAGGATCATGTGTCGCTGAAGACTGGAGTGATGCTAAAATCACTGAAATAGATGCTGAAAATTCTACTTTACAAATACAGGAATAAATTACACAATAAAATATATAAAAACAGAAACCAGTACTTTTAAATTGCAACTACATTTCACAATATTACTGTTTTTACAATATTTTTGATCAAATAAATCCAGCATTGGTGAGCATAAGAGACTTCAAAAGCAATCACATTTTTTTTAATAATTCCAAAGGTTTGACGGGTAGTGCATGTGTCGCATAACTGTTGTACTATACTCACCTAAACCCTTCAGAAATTTGTTGACTCCACTCTGTTCTGTGTCTGGTAACTCCTCCAAATACTGTTCCACCCTCTGCTCAAACAGACCTATTTAAGAAAAGAATAAATTAAATAAACAATAAAAAACAATAAGAATCAATTAAATGACTTCATATCAATAGATCATAGATTACTATTAATAATGCCCATTAAAAAAAATAAAAAAAAACGTTATGCTTCTGTCAAAAGCATTGTTTTTGGTCATCAGGAGGTGGCAGTAAAGATCTGACTTTCAATATAAAAGTTGCCTCCACCCCAACTCAGAAAGACCCACACAAGTAGTGTATCATTATGCTGGGTGTGGGTTTCAAATTACACTTATATGAGCCTGAGGCTAATAGGACAGACACCATGTTTTATGGGAAGCCATTTTCTTTAATTGACCAAGCATGGTTTACCTTTGGCCCTGCATTTCCTCATCTCCCTATCCTGGATGAATCCAGCAAACATCTGAGACTCCATGAAGACCCCCAGGAATCGCCGGATGCTCTTAGAAGCCACCGACTTGCGGAAGGCTTCGCGCTGGAATATGCGCTCCCCTCTTTCGCCCTGGGTAAGAAACAGCGAATAGTGGCCAACAGTCTCCAGGAAAAAGCGGATGAAGGCCTCTGATACCACACTGTTCAAAGAGGTGGTGCACTCTGGGAAATATCAGAAACGTTTATTAGAAAATATGCTAGAGCAACTAAACCAGCCATTTATATTTTATCAAGCATCAACAAAAAATATGAAATATGATTAGATTTGGTGATGGTGGATAAACAACAAAGGCTTTGAATAGGAAATGAAATACAGTGAAGCCAGATGTCGTGCTTTACAGTCAGAGCATGTTTCATGATGCACAGTAAGTCCATTGTAAACAGATGAGCAAGGCCAAGACGTCTGGCTTTTCACCTTCATCTGATTCGCTGTCGGAGTCTTGACTGATGATGTCGTTCCTCTGTTCGAGAGACTGCTCCAGAGCAGCTTGCAGTTTGCGTGGTAATAGAGAGGCCTCGTCATCCATCTGTATACAAGAAGAGTATGAAGATTAACATTGTAACAACGTTCAGTGATTCATAACATGACACAGCCAGCTTGTTTGTATTACAGATGCTCTCAGATCTTAATGACGACGACACGCAATTAGCTACGCTAGAGCCATGGGAGAGTTTGTCAAACTTTGTAGGCAGACGAACCTGTCTGATGAAGCGGTCCGTTCCAAGATCGACCATTAAAGCCTGAAACGTAAAGAGAAACAGATCTCAAACATTAAGTAGCATCATTCTGTTTAATCACACTATACTCAGTTGTTTTGGGAGGTTCGTACGTCACAGCATTTCCACAAGCTGATCCACAACAGATGGAGCCTGACATCCATTTAAAAACGCAGTGTTAACAACGACAAGCAGCACAATTTGGTGTGCTTCCAGATGTCTTCACTGCAAAGGGTCACCCCTTATGGCCATTACAAGTGCACTTATGTCTAAAAAGTACTAAAGACGACTTTCTGCCAAATGCACTAAATGCCAAACACTCAGTAGGGACCAAACTTCAACCCTGTGGCCAAGCTGGCAGTGTCCTATGGGCAGCTGGGAACAACAACACTCTCCCGGTTGGGAAAGTTTAGAAGGGAGAAAGGCAACAGCCTGGTCAGGAATGCTGAG